GAACATTAATCTGACACAGATGGAACATTAATCTGATTCAGGTGGAACATTAATCTGATGAAGGTGGAACATTAATCTGATGAAGGTGGAACATTAATCATATACAGGTGGAACATTAATCTGATACAGGTGGAACATTAATCAGATACAAGTGGAACATTAATCTGATACAGGTGGAACATTAATCTGATACAGGTGGGACATTAATCTGATACAGTTGGAACATTAATCTGATACAAGTGGAAAATTAATCTGATACAGGTGGAACATTAATCTGATGAAGGTGGAACATTAATCTGATACAGGTAGAACATTAATCTGATACAAGTGGGACATTAATCTGATACAGGTGGAACATTAATCTGATACAAGTGGAACATTAATCTGATACAGGTGGAACATTAATCTGATACAGGTGGAACATTAATCTGAAACAGGTGGAACATTAATCTGATACAGGTGGAACATTAATCTGATACAGGTGGAACATTAATCTGATACAGGGGGAACATTAATCTGATGCAGGTGGAACATTTATCAAATACAGATGGAACATTAATCTGATGCAGGTGGAACATTAATCTGATACAGGTGGAACATTTATCAAATACAGATGGAACATTAATCTGATACAGGTGGAGCATTAATCTAATACAGGTGGAACATTAATCTGATACAGATGGAACATTAATCTGATTCAGGTGGAACATTAATCTGATGAAGGTGGAACATTAATCTGATGAAGGTGGAACAGTAATCATATACAGGTGGAACATTAATCTGATGCAGGTGGAACATTAATCTGATACAGGTGGAACATTAATCTGATACAGGTGAAACATTAATATGATACAGGTGGAACATTAATCTGATACAGGTGGAACATTATTCTGATACAGGTGGAACATTAATCTGATACTGGTAGAACATTAATCTGATACAGGTGGAACATTAATCTGATACAGGTGAAACATTAATATGATACAGGTGGAACATTAATCTGATACAGGTGGAACGTTAATCTGATACAGGTGGAACATTAATCTGATGCAGGTGGAGCATTAATCTGATACAGGTGGAACATTAATCATATACAGGTGGAACATTAATCTGATGCAGGTGGAACATTAATCTGATGAAGGTGGAACATTAATCTGATGAAGGTGGAACATTAATTATATACAGGTGAAACATTAATCTGATTCAGGTGGAACATTAATCTGATACAGGTGGAACATTAATCTGATACAGGTAGAACATTAATCTGATACAGGTGGAACATTAATCTGATACAGGTGAAACATTAATATGATACAGGTGGAACATTAATCTGATACAGGTGGAACATTAATCTGATACAGGTGGAACATTAATCTGATACAGGTGGAACATTAACCTGATACAAGTGGAACATTAATCTGATACAGGTAGAACATTAATCCGATTCAGGTGGAACATTTATCTGATAAAGGTGGAACATTAATCTGATGAAGGTGGAACATTAATCTGATACAAGTGGGACATTAATCTGATACAGGTGGAACATTAATCTGATGAAGGTGGAACATTAATCTGATACAGGTGGAACATTAATCTGATACAGGTCTATTTGGCTAACTTATCCACCTACTCACCAATCCACCAACTCACCAATCCACCAATCCACCAACTCACCAATCCACCTACTCACCAATCCACCGACTCACCAATCCACCGACTCACCAATCCACCAATCCACCAACTCACCAATCCACCAACTCACCAATCCCCCGACTCATCAATCCACCAACTCACCAATCTACCTACTCACCAATCCACCAACTCACCAATCTACCTACTCACCAATCTACCAACTCACCAATCCACCAAGTTGATACACAGTAGAAAGTGCATCAAACTAATGTACATAAATCTTTTCTCCTGCTACGATATCATATAACATAAACCTAGACTAACACAGGGTATTCGTGTGATAAAGTTTTTATTTTACAAATTAGATTCAAAATCGTAATTATTTTAATTAATCACATTTTTTAGCAGTTGATTTTAACCAGAATTTCAAAAGAGGTCGTTTTAACATCAGGCGACCACAAAATGATCAAATTTCTAAATCAACGTTGACCTCATTTTCAGCCACTCACACAACAGATGGCGCGCGTCACGCCTCACAGACGATATTTTTTTACCTGGAGGTTAGGGCAGGTGACAGCAAGCAATCTATGGGAGTAGCAGACGTTGTGTAAGAGATGGTCGTCTAGCGGGTCTTTGTCTGCATAACTTATGCTATAAGGGAAAGGTTTATAGAAAGTAGAAAGTTAGGGTTAAGGAAATTATAAAGTTAGGATTAGAGAAAGTAGATATAAAGGGGTAAAGAAATTTTAAAAATAGGATTCTAGAAAGGTTAAAGATTCTAGGGTTAAAGAAATTAAAAATTTAGGATTATAGAAATCAGAAAGTTGCGGTTAAAGAAATGAAAAAATTAGGATTATATCAATTAGAAAGTTAGGGTTAAATAAATAAAAGTAATACAGATAACAAATGGCATGATACAAAAGGCAAGCGTGTACTTGAGTTGTTTCAACTGTATCATGATAAATGGTATCAAACCATTAAAGGCTGTGTGTGGAATACAACAAATTATCCTACATGAAAACAGAGTTTCTTCCTGGCGTCTCTTCGGAGGGGGGGGGGGGGGTCAGCCCTCCTCCTCCGAAAAAGGTCTACACCACCCCCGAACGAAATGGGATTGATATAGAAAATATATACTTTTAATAGTGTCCGCCCCCCGGAAATTTTAGTCCGCCCCCACCCCCCGAAAATTTCAAGTGCCCTTTCCCCCCCCCCCCCCCCCCCCCCCCCGGGAGAAAAAAGTCTGGAAATAACACTGCATGAAAACAAAACAAATGAAGGTCCTGTATTAAATACAACAAATGATAATAGATGAAATCAAACCAAAAAAGACTTTGTTTTTACTTAAATGTAACACAAAAAATGAAATCAAACCAAAAAAAAATATTTGTTTTATATTAGTAACAAATGATGATAAATGAAATCAAACCAAAAAAGTCTTTGTTTTATGTTAAATGCTACAAATGATGATAAATGAAATCAAACCAAAAAAGTCTTTGTTTTATGTTAAATGCAACAAATGATGATAAATGAAATGACAGCCTAGCCGTCTTTGTGTTGTGTTCATTATATGGAGGCCAACGTACGCTAAACACAAACTACTGGCTATCGATTCAGTTCAGCACCATTTCAACAATGGCCTTACCGCAATATTTTTGTCTACTGCAACACTCCACTTGCTACTGGGCAACAATCGTGTTCTTGAGCATTTATTTTTTGCGGGGTTGATTTGTAAACCAAAATATTTTCTATTAGCTTCCGTGTTAAGTTGGTTTTCATGGGGATATTTTGCACTTTATCAATTACTCGTATTTTAGTTGTATGTTACGATAAGGATCATTTAAATGTGTTTATTACGATAAGGACCATTTAAAGATGTATATTAAGATTAGGGCCATTTAAAGTTGTATATTATTATTGGGACCATTTAAAGTTGTATATTATGATTGGGACCATTTAAAGTTGTATATTATGATTGGGACCATTTAAAGTTGTATATTATGATTGGGACAATTTAAAGTTGTATATTATGATTGAGGCCATTTAAAGTTGTATATTATGATTGGGACCATTTACAGTTGTATATTATGATTAGGACCATTTAAAGGTGTATATTATTATTGGGACCATTTAAAGTTGTATATTATGATTGGGACAATTTAAAGTTGTATATTATGATTGAGGCCATTTAAAGTTGTATATTATGATTGGGACCATTTACAGTTGTATATTATGATTAGGACCATTTAAAGGTGTATATTATTATTGGGACCATTTAAAGTTGTATATTGCACACAGATAAGGACAGTTAAAGAATTGTGTTTTGACCAGAATTCGGATTTTTTTTCGCTATAAAATCAATTCAAGCAGTGAAATTGTCTTTGTGTCTCAATATTATCTTATTATAAGACAATATTGGTAAGGATAAAATTCTTATCCTTGCCAATATTATCTTATCCCTACCAATATTATCTTATCCCTTCCAATATTATCGTATCCCTACAAACATTATCGTATCCCTACCAATACATCCCTACCCTTTCAACGTGTTGCAGCCTCGCAAAGTTACGTATCGCGTGTAGCAGTAATGTGTTCCACGACCAAACGTATGGAGCTAAGATCGATAAAATACTCTGGGCACGTGACTAGTGTGGTGTGTGAGTTTCAAACTGTGGTGGTTGACGAGTGAGTCACTTGGTCGTGCCGGCCAGACAACTGTAAGTAGATGCTCCTGATTTTTTTTTCTCGTCATTTTAAAACAAGTTAATTAAAAAGTCTAGTGACAATTTTAGCGCAATTTCCTTATGTTATCTAAAAATAGCTCTGTCGTAGCGTAAATCAAGAGCAGGGTTAGTAAAACCATTGGTTAGTTATTAAAACGTTTTTTATTTAAAAAAAATTTCAGTATTTTACATGTTTTATTTACAATAGAGTTACATGACTAAAAACCATTGCGCGCCTAGCTACTGAACGTGATGACGAAGCCATAGAACGTGATGGTGCAGCTATTGAACGAGATGACGCGTGTGGTGTGGTTGGAAAAAATGCCTACTAATTCGGTCCAAATTTTAATTAATTCAAAAAAAAATTTGTGACCGAACGAAAGGATATTTTTGAAAACTTTCTTCGGCAATATTGTTCTAAATTATGGCAGGAATCGATTGGTACATGTTTCAAGTCGCTAAGTGGTCTGGTTGCCGAGATATGGGCTAAAAACTGCTTTTTTTCGAGGTTTTTTGGCTTTTCCGGGAAATCCATGAAAGAAACCCGGAATTTTTATAGCCTATGTTCATCCTCGTAACTTTCTTAACATAATTGCTTTTGGAACTAGTCATCGATATTGCTTCGTTGAGGAGGAGATACGACTTAAAGCTGCGGACACACATCCATCCATTCATTCATTCATACATTCATACATCCAGAAATGACGGGTTAATAAACGCAATTCTCCAGAATGGAAATTGCGCTAAAAACATTGTAAACCAGGTGATTAAAGTAGGGGAGATAATCTTTTGTTTACATTGTTGACTTCAGCAACTCTCCTCATCTCAACAATTTTATCTTTGTATAATCATCTCCCATCTCAACAATTTGATCTTTGTTGTCCAAACACAACGCATAAACCGTACAGTAATTCTTACAAAAACATACAAAAAAATACCTTTAGCTATTCTTTTTTTCCATTCTGACATTCTTGCGAATTTTTTTTCTAGACATGTATAATATACATTTATCAACATGTATGATAAACATGTCTCAAGTGTATTGCTGTGAAGGACATGGTATAAATGGGTAGTGGAATTTGTATCTGTTATATAGACAAGGTGTCTTTTATATAGACAAGGTGTCTTTTATATAGACAATGTGTTCGTTATATAGACAAGGTGTCTGTTATATAGATAAGGCGTCTGTTATATAGACAAGGCGTTTGTTATACAGACAAGGTGTCTGTTATGCAGACAATGTGTCTGTTACACAGACACGTTGTCTGTTATATAGACAAGTTTTACACAGTTAGTGAAAACAATATCTTCAGTATCCAACTACTACACCTCTTTAATGTTTTGATGATGTGTTTACATTACGCACATCTCTAATGATGTTTCAATGATGTGTTAACAACACTACCAAAAGGCGAGCTAGAGGATATGTTACAACATCCCCAGGCTATCGAACGATTCTCAATTGATGGATCAATGATCTCAAGTCGCATGCCTTGCCTAGTCGTATGTAAATATTTCTAAGATCAAAAATGTCCAATCGATTTTAACGTCGAACAATTACAGACAAAGGCATATAATTAACCCCAGCCATTTCATCCCATCGCCCCTGGCAGTAAGGTACGTTGTGGCAGTTGGTGAACGCTGTATGCACCAGACTCCGGCTAGCCGGAATAGAGGCGAATGTGTGTAGTCAAACCAACTGCGTATAGTCAAACTAACTGCGTGTAGTCAAACCAACTGCGTGTAGTCAAACTAACTGCATGTAGTCAAAACAACTGCGTATAGTCAAAGCAACTGCGTATAGTAAAACCAACTGCGTGTAGTCAAACCACCTGTGTGTAGTCAAACCAACTGCGTGTAGTCAAACCAACTGCGTATAGTCAAACCAACTGCGTGTAGTCAAACCAACTGCGTATAGTCAAACCAACTGTGTGTAGTCAAACCAACTGTGGGTAGTCAAAACCATCCACACAACATGACACCACTTAACACCACACCACACAACATGACACCACTTAACACCACACAACACAACATGACACCACACAACATGACACCACACAACATGACACCCCACAATATGACACCACTTAACACCACACCACACAACATGACACCCCACAACATGACACCACACAACATGACACCACACAACACCACACCACACAACACCACACCACACAACATGACACCCCACAACATGACACCACACAACATGACACCACACAATATGACACCACACAATATGACACCACACAACACCACACCACACATCCTGACACCCCACAACAACACACCACACAACATGACACCACACAACATGACACCACACAATATGACACCACACAACATGACACCACACAACACAATATGACACCACACAACACCACACCACACATCATGACACCACACAACATGACACCACACAACATGACACCACACAACACCACACCACACAACATGACACCACACAACATGACACCACACATCACGACACCACACAACATGACACCATACAACATGACACCACATAACATGACACCATACAACATAACACCAACCAACATGACACCACAACATAACATCACACAACACCACACCACACATCACGACACCACACAACATGACACCAACCAACATGACACCACGCTACACGACACCACACAACATGAAACCACACAACATGACACCACACACCATGACACCCCACAACATGACACCACACAACACCACACCACACAACATGACACCACACCACACAACACCACACCACACATCATGACACCACACAACATGACACCCCACAACATGACACCCCACAACATGACACCCCACAACATGACACCACACAACACCACACCACACATCCTGACACCCCACAACAACACACCACACAACATGACACCACACAACATGACACCCCACAATATGACACCACACAACACCACACCACACAACATGACACCACTCAACATGACACCCCACAACATGACACCACACAACATGACACCCCACAATATGACACCACACAACACCACACCACACAACATGACACCACTCAACATGACACCCCACAACATGACACCACACAACACCACACCACACAACACCACACCACACATCATGACACCCCACAACACCACACCACACATCATGACACCCCACAACATGACACCACACATCATGACACCCCACATCATGACACCCCACATCATGACACCCCACATCATGACACCACACATCATGATACCACACATCATGACAGCCCACATCATGACACCACACATCATGACACCACACATCCTGATCTATCACCAGGTTGAGTAAGATGGTTCGTCAAGTCCATGAGGACGTCCTACCATGTCCAGAGAGAACCGCCAGATCTCCGCCCAGCTGATAGTCTGCTGGCTCCTGGCTCTCCTGGGGCTGGCCTCATCCGACATGAACAATACAGGTGAGGCTAACGGTTACCTGAGGTCAAAATATCAGTTTACAGGTGGGCTAACGATTACCTGAGGTCAAAATATCAGTTTACAGGTGAGGCTAACGGTTACCTGAGGTCAAAATATCAGTTTACAGGTGGGCTAACGATTACCTGAGGTCAAAATATCAGTTTACAGGTGAGGCTAACGGTTACCTGAGGTAAAAATATCAGTTTACAGGTGGGCTAACGATTACCTGAGGTCAAAATATCAGTTTACAGGTGAGGCTAGCGATTACCTGAGGTAAAAATATCAGTTTACAGATGGGGCTAACGATTACCTGAGGTCAAAATATCAGTTTACAGATGGGGCTAACGATTACCTGAGGTCAAAATATCAGTTTACAGATGGGGCTAACGATTACCTGAGGTAAAAATATAAGTTTACAGGTGAGACAGGTCAACATATCAGTTTACAGGTGAGGCTGGTCAACATGTCAGTTCACAGATGGAGCTAACAGGTACACATGTCAGTTTACAGGTGGAGCTAACGATTACCTGAGGTCAAAATGTTAATTTACAGGTGTAACCAACTGGTTCTTTTGTGTAAGAATGATGTAGCGTATGATTGCTTGTTTTTCTAAACTCTACTGTTTTAATCAAACTTAGTGTCGGTCAAACAATCAATTCCATTTGGTGGTGTGTGGAGCGTATGGGCGTGCTATACATGATTGATCCATTGATCGCCTGCCTTAGTTAATGCTGAGGTGGAACTGAGGTAAAGAGATCTTATCTCACCCTGGCTCAACTTCCCCGGCAATGATGGAGAGTTCTCACGATAAGGTGGGAGGGGGAGGTAGTCGTGTGCCTGATTGATAAGGATTTTTGTATGCTTGCTGAGGATGGGAAATATAGGCTAATAACAACTTTTGTATATATATATATATATATATATATATATATATATATATATATATATATATATATATATATATATCGTTGATTAGATACAGGGGTTATAAAAAAATACCAGTAACGTATCAGTGCTACCCCATCTCATCAAATATGTATAGTATAAACTGTCTATGGTAGTACTATCAGAACGCCTAGTCAGGGTGGGGGGGGGGGGGGGGAATACATGGCGCACACATACTAAAAATGCACCTGCATAACATAAGACCTACACATCACATGTATAATAAAATACCTGTATATCACATGAATAGCAAAAAAAACTTTATATCACCTTTAAGAGCTTTATATCGCCTGTATAACAAAACTTTGTATATTACTTGTATAACAAAATAGCCTTATATCAAATGTATATTAAAATAGCTTTATATGACCTATATAACAAAAGACCCTTATATCACATTTATAACGAAAAAAATATCACTTGTATCAAAAGAGTTTTATATGACCTGTATAACAAAAGACCTTATATGACTTGTCTAACAAATGACCTTATATTACCTGTATAACAAAAGACCTTATATGACTTGTCTAACAAAAGACCTTATATGACCGGTATAACAAAAGACCTTATATGACTTGTCTAACAAAAGACCTTGTATGACCTGTATAACAAAAGACCTTATATGACATGTATAACAAAAGACCTTATATGACTTGTCTAACAAAAGACCTTGTATGACCTGTATAACAAAAGACCTTATATGACATGTATAACAAAAGACCTTATATGACGTTATAACAAAATACCCGTATATGACCTGTATAACAAAAGGCCTTATATGACCTGTATAACAAAAGACCTTATATGACCTGTAGAACAAATGACCGTATATGACCTGTAGAACAAAATACCTTAAATGACCTGTATAACAAAAGACCTTATATGACATGTAGAACAAAAGACCTTATATGACCTGTAGAACAAAAGACCTTATATGACCTGTAGAACAAATGACCTCATATGACTTGTAGAACAAAAGACCTTATATGAGCTGTATAACAAAAGACCTTATTACCTGTCTAACAAAAGACCTTATATGACATGTATAACAGAATGCCTGACTTTGTTACAGCGCCGCCCCTGACCTGCGATGACCTGGCCTGTGAAAACTACAACGTCTGCCACCTGGTGCTGGTCAACGGCACACAGGTCGGTGACGCCTTCTGTGTCTGTAAGGGGGAGTGGGCGGGGCAGAGGTGTGAGTCTAGGATCAAGCTGGCATCGTCTCGTGTGACGTCACGGCAGGTGACGCTGGAAGTGGAGCAGGCCCCGCCCTCCCGTAGACCTGAAAGACTGAAAGATCTGCACATCAGGAGGCTGACCCTGGTGCTGTGGAACCTGAACGCCAGCGACCACTGTATGGTGCTACAGCAAGCCCAGGTCCAGACGCCCATCGTCCTGACGGGGCTAGACAGGAACCAAGGCTATGTGGCCTGTGTAGCCAACGGCCAACTGGAGTCCTGCTCGCTCTTTGACGTCACTAACCTGACTTTCAAGCCCAACTGTTTATATTTTAAAACCAAGCTCACGGACGCCGACCCGGTGCATTTTATTCTATATATAGCAGTAGGAGTTCTCGCGCTTTTTGTGCTAACTTGCTGCTGTTTTATTTACACCAAACGCCATACTTTAATCGTTCAGCTCATTCTCAACGTGTTTTGTTGTCGGAACTGCTACTGCTGTCGGAAATACGCTAAGAGAAGACACCAGTCTATGCGCAAACAAAGGGAAGTAAGAGATGACGTACTTCTCTCCCCTGAAGTTAATCTGGACATCGTACGCAGGAGAGGGACTTTAGAGTCCAGCTATAGAGCATCCAAGACATCTTCCATGCTGTCACGGATCAGTGCCTATTCAATGGACCCTGACGGGTTCACTGACGTGAGCGGTTCACTCAACCACAACACATTTTTCTACATGGATCAAGGCGTGGTCGTACCAAGCTATTTACCTCATAACGATACAAGCATGACGTCATCCTACCTTGACGATGACCTGTTTTCATCAACCACCGACAAATCTGTCAGCTGCATCGGTTCCTTGGACCTGACAAACATTGATGCCAGTCCAGCGAAACTATTTCCCACAATATCTCAAGAATTCGGACCTTACTTAACAGATGATGCGGCGGATTTGATTTTCTCTAGTGGATCACACGACACATTCCAACCATTTTCTCAAGGAAATAACTGCAACGTTCAAAGTTTTAACATTGAATATCCATTGACAACGATGAATTCAAACAATTGTTCAGAATTATCAAAATTAAAAAATTCCAACATATATCGTCATCATCCGTATTTACAGAAACAGTTGAATAAAACCAGGTCAAATAACAGTTCTTTATATCTTAGCGAATCACGTGATCACTTGTTAAAAGACCGTCCCATGGAACCAACCAATCACGTCCATCAACACTGCAATGGAGGTGCCTTAACAGACTCGAGCACAAAGTTAACAAACGATGTTTGCTTAACGCCTGCTCTCCCTCAAGACAAAATCAATTACATTTCCTCGAAATCTGATTGGCTATTCCAGAATCGACAGTTTAACCATCATTACAATACAATGCCATCATTAGGCAAAAAATTACAGAGTTTCAAAAAACCAAATCACGTGATAAGTTTAGCCAATGGAAACGACATAAAAGATAGAAACTTGACGCTTCCGAGGGCTCAGAAATCTGGTCTTCACATTCCTCAAGTCGCAGACGATATCTTTAACGGCTTGAACTTCTGCACGCTACCCAGAATTCAGCGCACTACGTCTGTTGTCAAGCGACCCCAGAAACCCACAACCTTGACCTTACACACCAACACGAGGCCTGCCAGCCCAGCCCTGCCCCACACCGCCCCGACCAGTCCAGTCCCGTCCCCCCACATCACCCCAACAAACTCCCGACCTACTGGTCGACACGTCAGAAACCTCATCTCTCACTTCGAACACAATTTCGGTTTATTCCGAGTCTCCAAACAGAACTCAATGACAGACGAAGAAGAAGAATACAGAGAGCTTCAGTCTCCTCTAGTAGAAGACCGCAAACAGCTGAGGAAACAGCGCTCCGTCACACCCAGTAAAACAACCCCTACAGCCCCCAACAGCTGTCCCGGCCCTGGGATATTTGAAGGACACCCCTCACAACACTACATCCCTCCATTCTCGCCCGCCGATGATTGTGACGACCACTCGACTTATTCACTTGACCTTATGGCAGATGACCTTTCCAGTGAAAAAAGCGTCATTTCCTGTTTCGATGACGACAACAGTAATTTAGTGACGCCGTTTTTGTCGGACTCAGATGACGACACCTACAACGGTCTAACGTCTCTCGGTGGGTCAATGGACACATTATGTAACGACACACCAGCGTGTAACGACACACCAGCGTGTAACGACACACCAGCGTGTAACGACACGCCAATAGAAAACTCATTTGGGCATGGATTTGTGAGGGCTGCTAACAGAGATGAAACAAACTTTGAAACGCACGATAAATAACATTACATTTTATTGTTTGCAAATGGTTTTTGATATATTTTTGCTAATATTTTTGTCAAAATTTGTTGTCATATATTTTTGGCAAAAATTTTCTTTAAAACTGTTGTTTGTGTTGTGAGCGACTCTTTCTACAACAATAAACTTGATTCGATCTGCTTAATTAATGATTGAAATGTTTGTTATTGCTTTAACTAGAGGCTGGTGTTGCTGTGTGAAGTTCAGACACATTTGCGCCACTTTTTCCAGTAAAGACTAGCAATCAGACAATTAAACGTTTTCTAAGAACCTCCTGTCACTGTCAGGTTTTCAAAGAACCTCCTGTCACAGTCAGTTTTCAAAACAAACAAAACTCCTCTCACGGTTACAATAGTTTTCAAAAAGAACCTGTCAAATAGAGTTTAGAATTCAGGTGAAGACATTGTCGCCAGACTCGCATAACTTGCTGGCTTAATTAGGCAAAAAATAGATCTTTTAATACAGATAGGACTAGCAAGCAAAGATCAAGTAGATCTTTTAATACAGATAGGGCTAGCAAGCAAAGATCAAGTAGATATTTTAATACATATAGTTTATAGAGCTAGCAAACACGGATCAAAACAATGAGCATTACAGACCTACAGAAGAAAACGAACAGTTTTCACGTGACCTAAAACACTATTTGTCCGAGACGACGACATCCAAGTTATCTGGTCAGCGAATGAGAACGTTTGAACAGTTTAGGGCAGGGGTCTCCATACTTTTCAGCCCGAGGGCCGCATGAACTATTAAATAGCAGTTCGGGGACCGACAACACACTCGAGGTCCAAGGAAGCCAGTTCTTGTGTTATGTTTATACCTCCATCCACACAAATAATGAACACAAGCCGTTGAGAGGTGTAAATAATGTCCAGCTATTCATCCACTGCAATTGAAATAAAATACTTAAAAAAAACTTTTTAAAAAACCACGTTTTTCTTGTGGACTAAAAAGTAGAAAATAACTATTTACATACATTTGATGACAAAAAACGTGGGTACGTTCACCATCAAATTTCCCGACCCATCTGCCCGACCCACGTTTTTTGTCATCAAATGTATGTAAATAGTTATTTTCTACTTTTTAGTCCACAAGAAAAACGTGGTTTTTTAAAAAGTTTTTTTTAAGTATTTTATTTTCTCCTTTTTAGTCCGTTGCTACACATGAAAAACGTGGTTTTTAAAAAAGTTTTTTATATAGTGGGTTGTCGCGGCCACAACGCGAAGTACTAACCACTATACGATCACGGCCAGCGCGCTCACATCGATTGGGGCCGAAGTAACTGTGTCAACAAGCCTCCAGTCTTGTCGGTATCTTTAGAAATCATGTCCTCAATTTTATGGTCCTTTGGGCGTAATTAAATTAAGCTAATTACGGTCTCTAATTGCTAGTTTTTATGATTGCATCTGAAATTGTTAGGCGAAAGTAACCTGCATGCCAAATTTCAGATCTATAGAGCAATCAGAAGTGGGCTAATTTTCGATGTCAATTTTAACAACAAACACATCCACGCGAAGCTGAGTTAATAAAAACGTGTTAAAATGGCGAAACTTGGTAGCATTTTGCGCTATAAAAGTCACAATATCTTCACATATGACTGCAGCACGGCGGCCAATGTTTTTTTGCACCCAAAGCTACATTTTCAAATTGTTTTGACTTTTTTGGGCAAATTTCGTCAGCCACATCCAACAATTCCCCCCCCCCCCCCCCCCACAGGCCGCTCGCGGGCTATAGTTTGGGGACCCCTGGTTTAGGGGGGTACTGTGTGTTTGTTGGTGGGGGGGGGGTATCTAGAGAGCCCTGGTGCAGGATGATGTCTCGCCTCTGACCAGAGATGACGAAATCCGCCTTGGGACGAGAGAAGGGTTTCTCAATCTCTTTGACGATGTGTGCCCATGATGAGGAGGGGGGGGGGGGGCACTGAAGGAATGTGTCGAGTTGAGGATTTTTTAAAAGTATTTAAAATAATAAATTCGAGTAACAATTTTATAAAATTTAGCATGGATACATTTTGTTTCATTACTAAGTCTGATAACTAAGCTATGCGCGTTCCGGCCATTTTACTGTCATATGCGTCTTAGACATTTGTGTATAAAGGTTTAAAGCCTGTTGGTGCATGTAGTCCTCTGTGTCTCATAGCAATGATGCTTTAATATTAGCCTTGTAGATTCTTATCTTGCTCTGGACAGGCAGGGCTGTGGTGTTCCTTTTGGGAGTTAAAGACACGTCTGGCATTCCTAATGCGGCTCTTCCATATTTGTTTATCACGCTTAAGCTACCAAATGCGTGTAGGATTTTTTTTACTCTGCCTGCTATTTTACTTCAGTTTATTTAGAGTCCACTTTGAAGGCTTCTGAGAATAAACGGCTTACTTTGCTTTAAGCACGTTGTTTATAAGATTGGACGGCGGGGTGGGGTGGGGGGTGTACATTTAGTAGGCAAAATAAAGATTTAAAAACTTGTTAGTAATTCCACGGTGTGTCGTTGTTTGAACACTTCTGCGTGATCGAGTCAGTTACCATTGAGAACAACCCAGTGAAAGCATCTATTCCTGCTTTACTCTTGTCTTCGCTTTAAATGGTTTTGTTAGTTTGCACTTATGTAAAAGGAACGGTTCTCATATAGTTTTTGGTTGAAAGGTCTTGTCAAAAACATGTCTGTTCTAAGTTTTTGACCAAGATCTCTCAGTCACTACTTATTTAATAGCGTGGTCCCTTGTCTTGCTGAAGTTTCTGACGTTTATGTCATCTCATAGAGGAAGTTCATTCTGTCTTCTTTTGCACTCAGCCCGACTTACCAATATTGTGTGCTGAGGTTTATTTTCTCTTTGTCAACCTGGCATTGGTTCATATTCTGTCTTCGTATTATTGGGTATCAGATTTTGTTTTTGAAGACACTTTTATTTGCATTGGATGGAGGGAGGCTCCAATTTTTTAGATGAGGATGCGAGTTAGGGTCAGAAAATGACGGCACACTTTACATTATAAAGGAACTTTTAAAACTCAATTTCAGCAAGTATTTCGCAATTTTTGAAACACCCTCTTGTAAATTGTAATTAATATTAATTGGCCATTCACCAAATCGCGGCAATTGATAATGCAGTAAGAAATCGCTGTATCGTAAATAAAAAAAAATGGCTGGGGAGTTTAGGAGTTTATAATTATATATATATATATATATATATATATATATATATATATATATATATATATATATATATATATATATATATATATCGCGGGGGTGGGGGGGCGGACCGCACCGGGTGACACCATTTAGGGGGATGACACCAAGGTAAAAAGTAGCAAATCGGTCCAGTTAAATGAACGATTAATTAGAGTTAAATAGTCTTCAAAGAGCCAGGTTGACGAATCCTGACAAGAGTTGATTGGGGGGGGGGGGGGGGTGGCACCATGACGCAAATCTGCTAACGATAGAGAAAACAATGAAACCATCTAGGCTTCTAAAGATAAACATCGTTAGTATTATCTGTGCACAGTTTAAAGCTATCGCGGGGAGGGGGGGGGGGGGGGCTGACACCAACTAAAAGTTGCAATATTTGCCTGAGGAAAAAGCTTTTGTTGAGAATTGTAATAACTGATATGTCAATCGACTACTGGGATGGGGGGGGGGGGGTGACACCAAGTTTAATATTTTCTACAAAAGCAATGATTTTTCCACTTGAATTAATAACTGTTTTAATTTCTCCCCTCAATGCTTATTTTAGGTGGATTAATTAATATACGTTTGCGCCACTCGACTCGGTAGGGGGTCAGGGGCGTAGCGAGGGGGGGGGGGGCGGGGGGTGCGGACCGCACCGGGTGACACCATTTAGGGGGGTGACACCAAGGCAAAAAATAGCAAAATATATAGAGAAAAACTTGAGGGGGGGGGGTGCAAATCTAAAGTTTGAGGGGGGTGCAAAGCGAAAATTTGAAAGTTTGTCCCCGGGAAGGGTCGCTACGCTTCTGGTGGAGTTCGGTACGCCACTGAGGGGGGTGACACCATTTTAAATACACCGTCCACTGAAATGGATTAGGGTGAAACCACAAATTTACAAATCTACATAAAAAGCGAGAAACTGATAAATAGAACTTGTTGACTTGCAACGTTGACACATTTTGACGGTTTCATCAGCGATGAAAAGAGTTGACAAACATTTTGAAACAATTAATACAATTCTTAAATAAATTTAAGCACTATGCAATGGTATGGAATATGTAAAATTATAATAATTTAATTAGGCCTATAAATTTAGTAGGCCCTATACCTAGATCTATAAGAGGTAACGAACCTTATAGGCTTTATAGATTTATACATTTATATACTAGATCTATAGCTTTTATTAGTATATCTTAATATTACATTTTTTTTTTGTTTAGTATAGATTATAGATCCTTAAATGAAGGAACATTCAAACAATATTTATTTTTATTTTGCTGTAAACTTGTGAAATTTCGTCCATTAGAGTTACCTCTTTTATTAAAAACAACAAATGAATGGATGTCAAGCGAAAACTAAGGCCTATAATTTAGCAGGTAGGCCTAGATCTATTTGATAGTGTAATCTAGGTCTAGGGGAATCACCTTTACGAATTTTAGTAAATACGACTACAAGATAACTAGACTGTAGATCTAGTTAGATTAATTATTACCTCAGTATAGCTCACTCTCGGCACTTTTAAAATCCAGAATTCGACACTGTTGCTCAACTTGCTTTTATTTTTATTTTTAAATCTAGATCTAGATCTAGAATATTTCAATTTCTGAATTTCAAATCTAGAATTTGTCGTATTTGACAATCAATCAAAATATCTTTTTATTAAGATCTAGATCTAGATCAGTAAATCTAAAAGGTAAAACTTAGGCCTACTAACTAAATTACTACTAAAACTCCATTTTTTTTAGCGTATTTTATTCCCTGCTTCACGTTCACCTCCAGTTGAGCGGAGCGTATTTTCCCACGTTTTCTTTAACTTGCTTTCTCTGTTTGTTTGTTTGTTTTTCCAATCAAATCTTGCGATCGAAATTTCTGGCACTTCCCAGTTAGCTAGCGCGCTGAAATTTTCAGGGAAGCTTTCTTTTGGATGACCATAGAATATTCAGTTGTTATTATTACTAAATTGATCAATGGAAACATTTTATTGAGCATTTTAGACCGCTATATAATCTATATATATAATTCTCCTCTGCGAGCCATTAGAAAAAAAACGAGCGACGCGTAGCTCGCCTCTCTCTTGCCGCGCGCAGTGAAGCGAACGATCCCACGTCGCGACAGGCTTAGGGGCAGATAATTTAGTTTGAACCGACTTTAAACTTACAGGAGGTAACTGTTACCACTGGTGGCCAGTTTGGGGGAGACGATATGGTCGAGTGGTTGGGCACCTGATTGCTATCCCACTCGACACGGGTTCAAATCTATGTGTTCTAGTCAGTAACCAGCCCTCGTCCTAACCGCTATCAACTAACCTCTGACAATCATTCACTTGCGATTGAGACCGAAGAAGAAAGGGTCTCTCGTTTTTTACGAGTTGTCTTTTTACGAGTTGTCTTCGTTTACCCAAAAAAAAGTGAAAAGATAAAATCGATAGCAAGATTTCAATGCAAACAAACAGACAAAGACTAAAAAGTAGAAAATAATAATCATTAAAAAAGTTTTAAAAAACCCACGTTTTCTGATTGAACTAAAAAGTAGAAAATAAATACTATACATCACAATAATGCAAGCGATCACTCTACTATAAGCGATGAAAAACGTGGGGCGCCGTGATTTTCTTACAGTTTCTAATACTGTTGACTCTCTACAAGCTCCCTAATAAAAGTCAATAGTATTATCTAATCAATAGTAATATAACTTTTACTTCGGCGCCCCACGTTTTTCATCGCTTATAGTAGAGTGATCGCTTGCATTATTGTGATGTATAGTATTTATTTTCTACTTTTTAGTTCAATCAGAAAACGTGGGTTTTTTAAAACTTTTTTAATGATTATTATTAAATTTTAATAAACACAACCAAAACACACAAACCTTAGTAAATCACTTGGCCTCTATTTCTTTATGAATTTTTAGTTTAGTTTTTTAAATTAATTTCGTCAAAAGTTGAGAAAAATTCAAATTTGGAATATTGAATGTGAACTAATTAATCTAAGATCTAGATTCTAGATATAACTTTTTCTTCTTGAAAATATGTTCGTGTCAGTTAAGATTTCATGGCAATGGGTGAAGTAGGAACGCATAATTGCAAGGCATAATACTAGATCTATAATAATTAACTTACATGAACTCATAATGACCCTAAGCGATGACGTATGCTGATAATTATAAATATAATTAAAGTCAATGTGAACTCACGGTGAACCCTTGACCATGTAGGGATTTTTTCCCCGCCAACGATCACACGCAATTTAAATAAACTGTAATTTTTACCTTTTGTAATTAAAACACATTCATAAAAAAATAAGTACATTCTAGATTCTAGATCCATACATCTAATGATTCTAATCTTAGTGTTTTCTTAACATTTTTGTGTGTTTTGGTTGTGTTTATAATAAAATACGCTCAACATGAGGTGAACGTGAAGTGGGGAATAAAATACGCTAAAATGGATTTTAATTTTACCAATCTAAAATATAGATCTAGGTCTAGATCTAGTATTTTAAAAAAAAAAACTGTAGATTTCTATATTCTATAGGCCTACTCTATAATAATACTCTATCATTATATATTACAAGCCTATTTGAAGGCCTAATTAATAATTATTAATTAACTAAATAATTGTATTAGCCAAGTCTAGTATTAAGTTATTAACTATTAGGCCTACTAACTAGATCTAGATCTAGTAGCAAGACAAGGTTGAAGTAGTAAGTAGTTGAAGTAGGCCTAACTAATATTACTAATAATTTAATAACTAGGCCTTGATCTATAATCTATATTTTTTAGGCTAATATTAATAATATAGGCCTAGGCAATCTCACGATATAGCATTGGAAATTATGCGGTAATGTTTATTGAGTTTCGTTAACATTCGTTTCTGTAAACCATAGTTTAATTGACAGTTGAAATGAAAATAAAGTCAAGTGCATTAAATTAATGTTTTAGCTTAATTTAAAGTTAAATTGACAGAAAATTAGTAACAGTTAGTAGACCTAAATATCTATATATTATATAATATATATAATTCTCTAAATGGAGACCATACGAGACACCACCACGTAAGGGCTTAGCCGTTCCTACCCCCACTCTCTAGGCATGTTGCTACCACCCTCACCCCCACCAGTCTGGTGAACTGTGGTTCACCCCGAATGTTTACAATGTGACGGCTATTAGGGGCAGATAATTTAGCTTTTAAATAATTTGAAACTAATGAGAGGTAAGAAGTTCTGCTTGATCTTTTCATTGTGATCTGTAAACTGTCGTCACAGACGGCTGCTTTCACTGTTAAGGTTGGGGGAGAGGGAGGAGGGAGGGGTAAAGAGAGGATAGTGTCGAAATGACCAATTATGAATTACTGAAAAGTAGAAAATAAAACAACTAAATAGCAGCGTATGCTTACGGTGCGGGTCATTGTGTGTAATCAATGGTTTTTTAAGAAACACAGAAAAAAACTTGCAGAAGATTTGCGACAACTAGATTCTAGATCTAGTAAAATAACAAAAGTTAAAAGAAGTAAGCAGAACTAGAACAATGTTTAGTAGCAGCAATAATTAGCATATACACTTAAAATAATTGGAAATACAAAATAATTAGCAAAACAGTTTCTAAAATGCAACTAAAATCAATCTATGCACATTTTTAAACATTGTGTATTAAAAATAATATCGCGTAAAATAAAAGATGGTTTACAGTATTCCCTGTGGAATACCAAATAGCTAAAAATCTCACACATTTAAAATAACATAGGCTACCAATACCTATTAGAAAAATGAAATTATATAAATTATTAGTCACCACAACACCATATTAAATGCACTCGCTGATTGAGAGACTTAAATGATTTAGTTAAAAACCCAGCTGTTCAATGGTAGTTATATTGTTTTTAAAAGTAATTTGTATTAGTTGAGGCTGAGAAAACTGTATACATTTCAAATTAAATTTGAATCAAACAGTTCATTACTTTATATTCTAAAATTGGAAGATGACGCCATTTGTTTTGTGTTCTTACCGTAGTTTTGGCATGTGATGTCATGGTTTATTGCGTTCTAATCACAGCCTTAAACACTTCTCCAGTTGCATGATAAAAAATGTGTTGCTAGCTAGATTTGAATATTGCTTTATTTATATTTTTTTCTTTAAATAAAATTTAGTTTCTACATTTAAAACATCCAACATATTATTTTCAACAAAAGTCTGTATCTAAGTTCTCCATAGATCGCTGAAGATACTGATCATATAACCTCAAAAATGTTACGGACCGAGAGAGAGAAGTGGGCACATGGGCTTTTATATATTAGGATTAATAAAAAAAATTTGGTAATCTTACAATATAGGCCTTAATGTCGGAAATTACCCGGTAACAAAATTGTTTTTTGAGTTTTGTAAATATTAGTTACTTTAATTTGTTAACCATAATTTATTTGACCAGCAAAATATAAATAAAGTATAGTGTAGGGGCCTACCTAATGTTTTAATAGACCTACTTTAAATTTTTTAATTGACATTAGGAAATGGAAATAAAAACAATGATCAGAAATTTAGCAACAATTACTAGGGAGATTATAAATAATGAAGTCAAGTGTAGCAGTTAAGGTTATTAGACCCATTGTTTGTTTTTTTAGGCTTCAGCTATTTGCAGTCCATAACTAATAGCCCTCAGAAGGTTATTCATACACATTTTTTAATTTGTGTAGTATTTCTATTATTTATGCAATATTTATGTAGGTATAATGTCCTTATATCATCATGAGGTCAGTAAATCTCATATCATAGGCTATGGACCTAATGAATCCTGTTCACAGAAATGATAATGGGTATTTAAGGCCAGAAATTAAAATATAAAGCCACAACAACATAAAAAAATATACATTCTAAAATTATTATTGTGTAACTAAATGTTAACAAATTTAATGCCATGTTTTCCCATCTTTTATTTGATGCCAAGCTCAATTATCACTAGAATTGGTAGCCGATAAAACACTTGTAGTAAAAATGTTTTATATAAAATTGTCTAATTTTATAAAACTATTTCTCTCCTTTTAAATGTTTTTACTGTTACATTAGTCTGGTATGTAAGCTTCTGAGATACTTTTAGTGTGGATAGGATAAATTTAAGATTATTTTTGTGGCTATGGCTAATTGTTAGCACATTCAGCTTGCCTTTTAGGTGTTGTGAGCATATAAAATGTTTTGATGTGGTTTAATTAATTGAACATAAAAAATATTTAATTAGCTACTTTTGTAAAATTAGTCTTGTCCTATCTAATTGTTTTATTAAAGTTCTCTTTGATACCCTAAATTTTTTTTCACCGGGAAACCCTAGTAATTTTCAACTGAAATAATCTGCTTTATGGTGAGCTGTTATAGATACAGATATCTTCATATTTATACCCTTAAAATCTACGCCAGGCAAAGCTGTGACTGTTGACAACATGGCACTGCCACCCGTATTTTCTGAAAGTGGAGAGAGGCAGACAGGTGGCTACTTCCGTCTTATTTTACCAGCTGGATGTGACCCAAAATTTTTATGTAAACACTGTGGTCTAATCTTAAGAGACCCAATACAAAGTCAGTGTGGGCATAGATTTTGTCGCAGTTGCAGAGATGAAATACTTATGTAAGTAGATTACAATTTGTTTCCATGTTTTTAAATATATAAATGGTGCATTACATTCAACACTATATTTGTGTTCATTGTACATTGAATAATAAAAATTTGATTCGTGTATTGTTGGATCACATGAAATGAACTAATTTCTTTTCAATTTGACAAGAGTAAAGCTGGCATAATATAAACAATTTTCTTTTAAAATAGTACCAATGCTATTGTTGACTGCCCTGCATGTCTAGAGGAACAAGTAGATGAACATGAAATGGGACAGCTTTCTATGAATGAAGTAAGTCATACATTCATGAAATGGGACAGCTTTCTATGAATGAAGTAAGTCATACATTCATGAAATGGGACAGCTTTCTATGAATGAAGTAAGTCATACATTCATGAAATGGGACAGCTTTCTATGAATGAAGTAAGTCATACATTCATGAAATGGGACAGCTTTCTATGAATGAAGTAAGTCATACATTCATGAAATGGGACAGCTTTCTATGAATGAAGTAAGTCATACATTCATGAAATGGGACAGCTTTCTTTGAATGAAGTAAGTCATACATTCATGAAATGGGACAGCTTTCTATGAATGAAGTAATTCATACATTCGTAAAAATCGGACAGCTTTCTATGAACACAGTAGGTCATAAACTAAATGAGATCTTTGTTAGCCAAATAACGTATTTGTTTATTAATTTAGTTGTAACTATTATTTAGATGAAATTGTATGGGATTTAGTTTTATTTTTTTTAACAATGTTGACTAGATCAAAGTGTTAGACCTGGGGTATTACGCAGCAATGAGCTTCTGCACATTTTCTCCTTTTATTTGCAAAAGATACAAACTAGGGCCATTGTAGATGAAAAATATTGTAAAATGATGGTTAGATTGACATGGGTTGTTATTTTGAAGGAAACTAAGCTGTTACAAAACAGCTGATAACATCAACAGGTAATCTAATTGAGCATGTAACCATCTTAAAGCCCAGTGCTGTTGACAGTTATAGTTGTATGGCTCTATCCACCCTACATTGGGCTAGTAAATGTTAAGCTTTTTTTTGTCTGGGATATTGTGGTGTGGACCAAATCAGTTAAATGGGGACAGGGTAGAGGGATAAGGAATAATTTCTCACTGTTTGTTGCTACAGATGTTTCCTGATAATGCAGTGAAGAGAGAAATGTCTAACATGCAAGTGTGTTGTGTTTTTCCTGGCTGCAACTGGAAAGGAAGATTCAAAGACTATGAAGTAAACAATGTTTGTGTGTGTCATGTTGAGCGCTTACACGTGTCTGGCAGTGTGTTAACTAGAATAACCTGCTTGCTTTCAGTCCCATGAAAGGAACTGTCAGTTCAAACAGCTGGCGTGTGCCTTGTGTAGCCAGCCAGTGACAGATGGACAGCTTGAGGAGCATCGACTGCACTCTTGTCTACAGCGGGATGTGGCCTGTGATTACTGCAACACTCATTTGGTCTACTCCAGATTACAGGTAAAATATGGCTGCTCATCTGGTTTACTTTGACTTTTTAAAATGTGTGTTTACTTTTAAACAGTTCATTCACAAAATTTAAGTATTACTGCAACACTCATTTGGTCTACTCCAGATTACAGTTAAAATATGGCTGCTCATCTGCTTTAGTTTGACTTTTTTAAATGCGTGTTTACTTTTAAACAAATAATTCACAAAATTTAAGAAACAATAAAAATTGTAAAACCTACACCAGCTGCTCCTGTGGCTAATCTATTTTATGTGTACATTTTAAGATGCGAATTGTTATAGACTTTGTAAGTAATTCAAATATTAGACACAAAGAAAATTGAAATCACAAAGTAAAGACAACATCTGCATATTGGTGTGAGAAAACACCAAGCAGGAGGTGGCATGTGAATACACCATGTAAACTTTATGTTTGATTATCCTGTCTAGAGTCTTATCTGCCCTGCGCTGGAAGATTTTTGGTGCTTTGATCAATTTCCATTTTCCAATGAATTTCAGTTTGTCGTACCACTGTTAAAAAAAGGAAAATATATTGTTTATCTAGTATTCTGTAAGCTGTTTAGCTTTATAAATTTATTAACATAAAATGTTTTCAGAATTGTTTCTTTCTCTTTCAGATCTTAAGCAATTATTTCCTTAACATATTTCCTTATTCATTTTCAATAAAAATCTTAGGATGTGTCAGATTGTTTCATAATAGATCTAGTAATAGATTTTAATAGCTATCCACTGTTGCGGTTCAGCATATGGGTTTACTTAAGTTCTTTACAGCAATAATAGTTTCAGTTAAGGAAATAAATTATTGTATATGGATAGGCATAATATTCTACAAGTATAACTATATTTTTGTATAACTGTACAAATATGTAAATATTTTTTTAATAAGTTAAGCATTGCATTTAAGCATTGTTTTGTATTTCCAGAGCCATCTTGAAACTTGTAGTCAAGTTTTAATGACATGTGACAAGTGTGGGCGTTCTGGTATCAGGAGAGAACTGGTAAGCTGTATTGTAGCTTCATTCATTTCTCCTGTTTTATTATACTGTAACTTTGGTGAGAACTGGTAAGCTGTATTGTAGCTTCATTCATTTCTCCTGTTTTATTATAATGTAACTTTGGTGAGAACTGGTAAGCTGTATTGTAGCTTCATTCATTTCTCCTGTTTTATTATACTGTAACTTTGTACATTTTTATTTTTTTATTTTAATGAAATTTTAGTTTTTTAATTATTGCAAACATTACTACGCTAGTAGCAACAGTTTAGAAAAAATTGCCTTAATTATTTTCCTATTAGATTTTTAACATATACATTTAAAATGACAGCACTATTCTGCCGTAAGTAAAATTAATGTGCGCTATTAGAAAGCAAGAAAAAACCCTCGAACCTTCCCATAACCAGCTGAAAGAAATAAAACACATCATAAACACAGATAAGAGCAGGGCTATACCCACTAATCAAAGCTGTGGTGTGCTATAAAAAATGTTGTGAATGATTATCATTGTTTGTTCCTTCTAAAGGTCCTAAACTGATGAACTGCCTCACATTTTCTGTTTTACAGCTGAGCTCTCACCTAGAAGAAAGTTGTCCTAAGAGGATTGTGTCATGTCCTGTAGGTTGTGTTGATAAGGTAAGCTTTTAGCTATGTTGTCAGGTTTATGGAGGATTAGCTATGTTGTCAGGTTTATGATGGATTAGCTATGTTGTCAGGTGTATGAAGGATTAGCTATGTTGTCAGGTTCATGAAGGATTAGCTATGGTGTCAGGTTCATGAAGGATTAGCTATGTGTTCAGGTTCATGAAGGATTAGCTATGTGTTCAGGTTCATGAAGGATTAGCTATGTTTTCAGGTTCATGAAGGATTAGCTATGTTTTCAGGTTCATGAAGGATTAGCTATGTTTTCAGGTTCATGAAGGATTAGCTATGTTGTCAGGTTCATGAAGGATTAGCTATGTTGTCAGGTTCATGAAGGATTAGCTATGTTGTCAGGTTTATGAAGGATTAGCTATGTTGTCAGGTTCATGAAGGATTAGCTATGTTGTCAGGTTCATGAAGGATTAGCTATGTTGTCAGGTTCATGAAGGATTAGCTATGTTGTCAGGTTCATGAAGGATTAGCTATGTTGTCAGGTTTATGAAGGATTAGCTATGTTGTCAGGTTCATGAAGGATTAGCTATGTTGTCAGGTTCATGAAGGATTAGCTACGTTTTCAGGTTCATGAAGGATTAGCTATGTTGTCAGGTTCATGAAGTATTAGCTATGTTGTCAGGTTCATGAAGGATTAGCTAGGTGTTCAGGTTCATGAAGGATTAGCTAGGTGTTCAGGTTCATGAAGGATTAGCTATGTGTTCAGGTTCATGAAGGATTAGCTATGTTGTCAGGTTCATGAAGGATTAGCTAGGTGTTCAGGTTCAGGAAGGATTAGCTAGGTGTTCAGGTTCATGAAGGATTAGCTAGGTGTTCAGGTTCATGAAGGATTAGCTATGTTGTCAGGTTCATGAAGGATTAGCTAGGTGTTCAGGTTCAGGAAGGATTAGCTAGGTGTTCAGGTTCATGAAGGATTAGCTATGTGTTCAGGTTCATGAAGGATTAGCTAGGTGTTCAGGTTCATGAAGGATTAGCTATGTTGTCAGGATTGTTGTTGAAGGATTAGATTCTACACATTTATTTGTACCAAATATTCATGCTATCAATTTATTGATATCATTATATTGTTGCTTTCCCATCACTAGCATTATTTTGTTATTCTCCCCTGTATCCCTTATCTTGTGAATGTACCAAGTAGCCTATACTGTATGTTGAATCAGTTCCAACAAGACAAGTTCAGCGCACATTTGAGTGAGCTTCTGGCTGAACATTTGGAGTGGACTGTGACCAAGTTGGTGGGGCTAGAGAACAAGGTGGAGCAGACCTTGGGGGCTGGGACCATCATCCCCCAGTCACAGCTCACCCCCATCATGGAGGACATCAAAAACCTGGAGAAGAAGGTCAACACAAATACTTTCACCCATATACAGTTTTTGTTTTTTTCTTTGTGCACGCTTTTTACATAAACATTTTGTTTTCATTGAGGTATTTTTTTTTATTGTAAAAACTAACTCTCTTACTATCAGGCATTTTTATCGTTGCATCTTCTTCCAGTGAGATCACTAACAAGATTACTTTCTGTAGGTTCAAAATTTTGAAAGACAAATTCAGCAACTGATTCAGTCTAAATCATCAGCCGTAGGAGGAGCAGCTGGGGACAACAGTGTAAGTAGACACCAGCTCAGTGTTTACACTAGCTCAATGTTTACATCAGCTCAATGTTTACTTACATTGACTCACTGTTTACATCAACTTTATGTTTAATTCAGCTCAATATTTACCTTTATGAAATATTTGGAACGACTCAGTGTTTACATCTACATGAAAATCCATATAGATAAAAATGTACTGTATAAAATGTACTGTATAAAATGTGCTGTATAAAATGTGCATGTCTAAGTGATATGAACTGGTTGTTGTATTTACCTTTAGATGTCAGCAGAGGTGGCAGCCAAAGCGAGTCTGAAACTTGTGGAACCAATACTTGGTGTTATACATAATGAAGTGGACACGGCCATACATGCTCTACAGACTCTAGAGGGACACTACAGGCAACAACAGGCACAAGTTAGTTGCCATTCACTGTTTGTAGTGGAGATTTGGTGGGGGCAGTGGAGAATAATATTGTCAGGATTTTTTCTTATTTTTTGCGGAAATTTAATTTTTCCATTTCAGCTGCAATTTTCCTCCTAAATTTTTCTGCACGTCTTCAACTTTTGAACGATTTTTTGTTAAGATTTAAAAATTAGAAATTTGGGGAAAAAATTAAATGACATCTACAGAAACAGGCAACGTGAATTTCAAACATTCGTATTTAAAATTAAGTACTACGCTTGGCATAACTAAAACAGATCTATTGTTCATTTCTTTGCTGTCACTCCATTCAAACGGACACATCCCTGCTTGTCCATTCTTTATTTTAATATACGTAACTGTTAACAACTGGGTCCCACTTTTCACTGCAGTTAATTAAAATTGAGCTTGTTTGGTGGGAATTTTTTTTTCTTTCATTTACTTCCTGCAACTTAAATTCTAATTCACACAACAGTCCTGGTGTTAAATCATCTTATTGCTTTGAATACAAGTAACTTATTGGAAAAACAAACATGTCCAATCTATCTTTAACCAGTTGGATGAAATAGAAAACCAGTTTAGAATACAACAGCAACAAATCCAGTTGAAGGATGCAGCATTTGCTGACCTTGAGATGAGACTTGCCGCCCAGGAAATGGCTCGACATGATGGGACTATTTTGTGGAAAGTTTCTGGCTTTGAAGCAAAAAAACGTGATGCAATCAGTGGCCAGACAACTAGTTTATATTCACCAGCCTTTTACTCTGGTCCTGTAAGTTACTTTGTGTAAACTTCAGACAACTAGTTTGTATTCACCAGCCTTTTACTCTGGCCCTGTAAGTTACTTTGTGTAAACTTCAGACAACTAGTTTATATTCACCAGCCTTTTACTCTGGCCCTGTAAGTTACTTAGTGTAAACTTCAGACAACTAGTTTATATTCACCAGCCTTTTACTCTGGCCCTGTAAGTTACTTTGTGTAAACTTCAGACAACTAGTTTATATTCACCAGCCTTTTACTCTGGTCCTGTAAGTTACTTTGTGTAAACTTCAGACAACTAGTTTGTATTCACCAGCCTTTTACTCTGGCCCTGTAAGTTACTTAGTGTAAACTTCAGACAACTAGTTTATATTCACCAGCCTTTTACTCTGGTCCTGTAAGTTACTTTGTGTAAACTTCAGACAACTAGTTTGTATTCACCAGCCTATACTCTGGCCCTGTAAGTTACTTAGTGTAAACTTCAGACAACTAGTTTATATTCACCAGCCTTTTACTCTGGCCCTGTAAGTTACTTTGTGTAAACTTCAGACAACTAGTTTATATTCACCAGCCTTTTACTCTGGTCCTGTAAGTTACTTTGTGTAAACTTCAGACAACTAGTTTATATTCACCAGCCTTTTACTCTGGCCCTGTAAGTTACTTTGTGTAAACTTCAGACAACTAGTTTATATTCACCAGCCTTTTACTCTGGCCCTGTAAGTTACTTTGTGTAAACTTCAGACAACTAGTTTATATTCACCAGCCTTTTACTCTGGCCCTGTAAGTTACTTTGTGTAAACTTCAGACAACTAGTTTATATTCACCAGCCTTTTACTCTGGCCCTGTAAGTTACTTTGTGTAAACTTCAGACAACTAGTTTATATTCACCAGCCTTTTACCTGTAAGTTACTTTGTGTAAACTTCAGACAACTAGTTTATATTCACCAGCCTTTTACTCTGGCCCTGTAAGTTACTTAGTGTAAACTTCAGACAACTAGTTTATATTCACCAGCCTTTTACTCTGGCCCTGTAAGTTACTTTGTGTAAACTTCAGACAACTAGTTTATATTCACCAGCCTTTTACTCTGGCCCTGTAAGTTACTTTGTGTAAACTTCAGACAACTAGTTTATATTCACCAGCCTTTTACCTGTAAGTTACTTTGTGTAAACTTCAGACAACTAGTTTATATTCACCAGCCTTTTACTCTGGCCCTGTAAGTTACTTAGTGTAAACTTCAGACAACTAGTTTATATTCACCAGCCTTTTACTCTGGTCCTGTAAGTTACTTAGTGTAAACTTCAGACAACTAGTTTATATTCACCAGCCTTTTACTCTGGCCCTGTAAGTTACTTAGTGTAAACTTCAGACAACTAGTTTATATTCACCAGCCTTTTACTCTGGCCCTGTAAGTTACTTTGTGTAAACTTCAGACAACTAGTTTATATTCACCAGCCTTTTACTCTGGCCCTGTAAGTTACTTTGTGTAAACTTCAGACAACTAGTTTATATTCACCAGCCTTTTACTCTGGCCCTGTAAGTTACTTTGTGTAAACTTCAGACAACTAGTTTATATTCACCAGCCTTTTACTCTGGCCCTGTAAGTTACTTTGTGTAAACTTCAGACAACTAGTTTATATTCACCAGCCTTTTACTCTGGCCCTGTAAGTTACTTTGTGTAAACTTCAGACAACTAGTTTATATTCACCAGCCTTTTACTCTGGCCCTGTAAGTTACTTTGTGTAAACTTCAGACAACTAGTTTATATTCACCAGCCTTTTACTCTGGCCCTGTAAGTTACTTAGTGTAAACTTCAGACAACTAGTTTATATTCACCAGCCTTTTACTCTGGCCCTGTAAGTTACTTAGTGTAAACTTCAGACAACTAGTTTATATTCACCAGCCTTTTACTCTGGCCCTGTAAGTTACTTAGTGTAAACTTCAGACAACTAGTTTATATTCACCAGCCTTTTACTCTGGCCCTGTAAGTTACTTAGTGTAAACTTCAGACAACTAGTTTATATTCACCAGCCTTTTACTCTGGCCCTGTAAGTTACTTAGTGTAAACTTCAGACAACTAGTTTATATTCACCAGCCTTTTACTCTGGCCCTGTAAGTTACTTAGTGTAAACTTCAGACAACTAGTTTATATTCACCAGCCTTTTACTCTGGTCCTGTAAGTTACTTTGTGTAAACTTCAGACAACTAGTTTGTATTCACCAGCCTATACTCTGGCCCTGTAAGTTACTTAGTGTAAACTTCAGACAACTAGTTTATATTCACCAGCCTTTTACTCTGGCCCTGTAAGTTACTTTGTGTAAACTTCAGACAACTAGTTTATATTCACCAGCCTTTTACTCTGGTCCTGTAAGTTACTTTGTGTAAACTTCAGACAACTAGTTTATATTCACCAGCCTTTTACTCTGGCCCTGTAAGTTACTTTGTGTAAACTTCAGACAACTAGTTTATATTCACCAGCCTTTTACTCTGGCCCTGTAAGTTACTTTGTGTAAACTTCAGACAACTAGTTTATATTCACCAGCCTTTTACTCTGGCCCTGTAAGTTACTTTGTGTAAACTTCAGACAACTAGTTTATATTCACCAGCCTTTTACTCTGGCCCTGTAAGTTACTTTGTGTAAACTTCAGACAACTAGTTTATATTCACCAGCCTTTTACCTGTAAGTTACTTTGTGTAAACTTCAGACAACTAGTTTATATTCACCAGCCTTTTACTCTGGCCCTGTAAGTTACTTAGTGTAAACTTCAGACAACTAGTTTATATTCACCAGCCTTTTACTCTGGCCCTGTAAGTTACTTTGTGTAAACTTCAGACAACTAGTTTATATTCACCAGCCTTTTACTCTGGCCCTGTAAGTTACTTTGTGTAAACTTCAGACAACTAGTTTATATTCACCAGCCTTTTACCTGTAAGTTACTTTGTGTAAACTTCAGACAACTAGTTTATATTCACCAGCCTTTTACTCTGGCCCTGTAAGTTACTTAGTGTAAACTTCAGACAACTAGTTTATATTCACCAGCCTTTTACTCTGGTCCTGTAAGTTACTTAGTGTAAACTTCAGACAACTAGTTTATATTCACCAGCCTTTTACTCTGGCCCTGTAAGTTACTTAGTGTAAACTTCAGACAACTAGTTTATATTCACCAGCCTTTTACTCTGGCCCTGTAAGTTACTTTGTGTAAACTTCAGACAACTAGTTTATATTCACCAGCCTTTTACTCTGGCCCTGTAAGTTACTTTGTGTAAACTTCAGACAACTAGTTTATATTCACCAGCCTTTTACTCTGGCCCTGTAAGTTACTTTGTGTAAACTTCAGACAACTAGTTTATATTCACCAGCCTTTTACTCTGGCCCTGTAAGTTACTTTGTGTAAACTTCAGACAACTAGTTTATATTCACCAGCCTTTTACTCTGGCCCTGTAAGTTACTTTGTGTAAACTTCAGACAACTAGTTTATATTCACCAGCCTTTTACTCTGGCCCTGTAAGTTACTTTGTGTAAACTTCAGACAACTAGTTTATATTCACCAGCCTTTTACTCTGGCCCTGTAAGTTACTTAGTGTAAACTTCAGACAACTAGTTTATATTCACCAGCCTTTTACTCTGGCCCTGTAAGTTACTTAGTGTAAACTTCAGACAACTAGTTTATATTCACCAGCCTTTTACTCTGGCCCTGTAAGTTACTTAGTGTAAACTTCAGACAACTAGTTTATATTCACCAGCCTTTTACTCTGGCCCTGTAAGTTACTTAGTGTAAACTTCAGACAACTAGTTTATATTCACCAGCCTTTTACTCTGGCCCTGTAAGTTACTTAGTGTAAACTTCAGACAACTAGTTTATATTCACCAGCCTTTTACTCTGGCCCTGTAAGTTACTTAGTGTAAACTTCAGACAACTAGTTTATATTCACCAGCCTTTTACCTGTAAGTTACTTTGTGTAAACTTCAGACAACTAGTTTATATTCACCAGCCTTTTACTCTGGCCCTGTAAGTTACTTAGTGTAAACTTCAGACAACTAGTTTATATTCACCAGCCTTTTACTCTGGTCCTGTAAGTTACTTAGTGTAAACTTCAGACAACTAGTTTATATTCACCAGCCTTTTACTCTGGCCCTGTAAGTTACTTAGTGTAAACTTCAGACAACTAGTTTATATTCACCAGCCTTTTACTCTGGCCCTGTAAGTTACTTTGTGTAAACTTCAGACAACTAGTTTATATTCACCAGCCTTTTACTCTGGCCCTGTAAGTTACTTTGTGTAAACTTCAGACAACTAGTTTATATTCACCAGCCTTTTACTCTGGCCCTGTAAGTTACTTTGTGTAAACTTCAGACAACTAGTTTATATTCACCAGCCTTTTACTCTGGCCCTGTAAGTTACTTTGTGTAAACTTCAGACAACTAGTTTATATTCACCAGCCTTTTACTCTGGCCCTGTAAGTTACTTTGTGTAAACTTCAGACAACTAGTTTATATTCACCAGCCTTTTACTCTGGCCCTGTAAGTTACTTTGTGTAAACTTCAGACAACTAGTTTATATTCACCAGCCTTTTACTCTGGCCCTGTAAGTTACTTAGTGTAAACTTCAGACAACTAGTTTATATTCACCAGCCTTTTACTCTGGCCCTGTAAGTTACTTAGTGTAAACTTCAGACAACTAGTTTATATTCACCAGCCTTTTACTCTGGCCCTGTAAGTTACTTAGTGTAAACTTCAGACAACTAGTTTATATTCACCAGCCTTTTACTCTGGCCCTGTAAGTTACTTAGTGTAAACTTCAGACAACTAGTTTATATTCACCAGCCTTTTACTCTGGCCCTGTAAGTTACTTAGTGTAAACTTCAGACAACTAGTTTATATTCACCAGCCTTTTACTCTGGCCCTGTAAGTTACTTAGTGTAAACTTCAGACAACTAGTTTATATTCACCAGCCTTTTACTCTGGCCCTGTAAGTTACTTAGTGTAAACTTCAGACAACTAGTTTATATTCACCAGCCTTTTACTCTGGCCCTGTAAGTTACTTAGTGTAAACTTCAGACAACTAGTTTATATTCACCAGCCTTTTACTCTGGCCCTGTAAGTTACTTTGTGTAAACTTCAGACAACTAGTTTATATTCACCAGCCTTTTACTCTGGCCCTGTAAGTTACTTAGTGTAAACCTTCATGTTGCTTAGTCTTGTCTACTATTATTTAGATGCTATGGCCTATAAGTTTGACTGTTCCATTTTATCATCTACTTCCATTATTTAGATGAATGTAGCCTATATGTTTGACTGTTTTATTTTCTACAGTGTGGCTACAAAATGTGTGCTAGGATATATCCCAATGGTGATGGCATTGGTAAAAATTCACACATTTCACTTTTTTTTGTCATAATGCGGGGACATTTTGATGCTTTATTGCCATGGCCTTTTTCACAGAAGGTAAAGCTTTTAATTAGCCCCCTTTATATAATCTATTTAATTGGCACCCTCAAATGGTCTATTTTATTGGTTGCCTTGTACTAATTTATTGTCATCCTCACATAGTGTTACTAATTTCTTACTTTTTCTTTATTAGTACTTTAATAAAAAAACACATTTAAAAAAAAATTTCCTGTTAATAATGTGTGTGTTGAAGATGAACAAATCTGGACACTCTTATTTTCATACTTAAATTTTTTGAACAGGTGACTCTGATGATGATTGATCAGAATCACAAAGAGCACATTGTTGATGCATTTAAACCTGATCCTTCCAGCTCATCTTTTAAGGTTAGCTCATTTTTTGTCCCACAATTTTTTCAATCTATAACTATAAGGCAAGTTTATCTACAGTGTCCAGCAAATTATTTTTTCTACTCATGGGGCAAGTTTATCTCCCCTTTGTCTAACAATTATTTTTTTTCTAATAAGGTAAGTTTACCTTAAGTTTTCCCAGCCAATTTCCCCATACATGCCTGTGATGTTTTTTCCTCCAGCGCCCCACAACAGAGATGAACATCGCCAGTGGGTGCCCACTCTTCCTACCTTTAGAGAAGCTCCAGAGTCGACAACATGGCTACCTGCGTGATGACACCATCTTTGTCAAGATCATTGTTGACACTGATGGCTTAGACAGGTACACAGAAATGAATCCTGGAAGATTTGCAACAGGTTACCCATAATCCTAAGCTTTTCCCTCTGACCTTGAGATGCTCGAATTGAACTTGTTTTGGTATTGTAACTTTATTGAACACTTTAGATGAGCAGGACTTGAATCAATTGTAACTTTATTGAACACTTTAGATGATAGGGACTAAGCACCACCTAAACACCAGTTACATTGTTGTTTTGTTTGTTAGTGAACCAGCAGCAGTCTCCTGCACTGAGCTGATGCTATGTATAGACACCTTTATTTGTTTTGTTATTTTTTTTATCTTTGCAAGTGATATCCAATTTTCAACTCAACTATTTCAGTACTTAATTTACAATTTAGTTTCTGATGATACTAAAACATTTGCCTATTTTTCTTAAGTTCCAGTGACTGATTAACTTTAATAAATATTTTAAAACCTATTTGTTAATTTAAATAAATACTTTAAAACCTATTTGTTAAATAAATACTTTAAAACTTATTTGTTAAATAAATCCTTTAAAACCTATTTGTTAAATAAATCCTTTAAAACCTATTTGTTAAATAAATACTTTAAAACCTATTTGTTAAATAAATATTTTAAAACCTATTTGTTAAATAAATCCTTTAAAACCTATTTGTTAAATAAATACTTTAAAACCTATTTGTTAAATAAATACTTTAAAACCTATTTGAGTGTTGACAGGTCACAGGGAAAAGCATTGCAGTAGTTAATGCCATAGTTTTGGACATGAATATTTGTATCTGTTTAAACAAAGTAGATAAACAAGCTATCAGATTTTTGTATGTATAAAAATGATTCCGATTGCAATAACACTACCTTTGTCTGAGTTGAAAGCAAGTTTGTTGATTCATCAAACTTAATGTGGGGTTTGTTAAAGAACAAAATCAAGTTTTTTAAGGCAAAGTAATTTGTACTAGTTTATTGATATGTTCATGTTATTATTTATTTGCTGGCTTAATGATTTCAACTATGTAATATAAAAACTGATGCATGTAATGTTCAACCAATGATGTTTTGTTATTTGCTTTCTATCATGGCTCATGGTTGCAATAAAAACTCAAGTGAATGAAATAAAGTGTGATTTACATTCTAACTCAGATAGAGGACTCTTGATTTGTCCAGTTGTTCATTTTTTTCCCAATCTCTTTTTTGATACTTTAAAATATAGTGGAAAATATGTTTGATAGTTTTATCCTTTGATACTTGTACATTACATGTAGTGGAAACTATCAATTTGTTTAACATAGTTTTTATCCTTTGATACTTGAATTACATTAATATGTAGTGGTATTTATGTTTAAAGTTATTTTAACTTTATTTGATAGGTTTTATCTTACACTTTATGATTGATATATTATAATAATTATTTCCTGGGTGAATGAACCTTTGTAATTGAAATGGTATACAAGAATTTTATAAATAATTTCTTGACATATTTTGGGATCCATCATACTCATATCAAAGTACTTGTTTGTACTTAATAGATTTTAGACTTGTTTTTTTAAATTTTGTTTTAGTTCATAATGTCTGTATACACTGTGTTATCCACAGAGATTTTTATTATTTAAAGTGCTGAGTTGTATTGTACTTTTGCTTAACTGTGGTACTATACTACATGCACTCTATGCTTTTGTTTAGTTTATACATAAAAAGGGTAGCAGCAGTGAGCTTTATGCAATTAGTAATATATAGGGTGGTGTCAGTATCCTCACAAATTCAAGACAATAATAGGTACATTGGACATTCAGACCCAAGGTCTCCATTGGCACACAATAGTGTGGTTAGATACTAGACAAACAAGATAAACAGTAACACAATTATGGACTTAGCTTGACAGTGGAAACATCTTGTCTAATTGCCCTGATATCTAAATTTAGACAATATGTGACTAAAATTGGTGAGGATACTAACACTACCCATTTTATTACTTTTGTTTAGAATATTACATGCAGTCTATGCTATAGAACAGTGGTCCTTAACCTTTTAGGGGTACCATATTCACCAAACCCTTCTTAATAGTTCTATCATCTTCACTGACAAAATCTGATCCTGAATCATATGAGTTGGGTGTGTGTTGACCTCAGCTGAACCCCTGAGGCTGACTCTCACTGAACCACTCGGGTTTGATTGAACCCAGGTTAAGAACCGCTGCTTTAGAATTATACTACATGCAGTTTTGTAGTATACTAGAAACAGTCATAGATTGTTATAAACTACATAGTCCCATGTAGGTAGCCTTTGAACCACTATGTCTGTAGAGAAGTAGAAATACCAAGTGATCCCAGCAACAATTTTCTATTTTTAAATGTAATGTTCTTATTGCTATTGCACTGTTAGATAGAAGTTAGGATATGTTGTTTATCTCATAATGGTGTATGTCATGTGTATCTCACACAAATCAATGTAATATAGCCTGGATAACATATGCCCATTCACATGTGTATCCATGTAATACCAATTTGATATCAGTTGTATGCAAAGCTTTTTTAATTTAATGCTAGATGTTTTTAAATAAAGATATTTTCTGTCAAGTTTTTACCATTTTGTTTTACCAAACAATCATGACACACTACAACCATCAGGGCTGCGGGTGTCATGACACACCTCAAGGCTGCTGGTGTCATGACACACCTTACAGCTGCTGGTGTCATGACACACCTTACAGCTGCTGGTGTCATGACACACCTCAAGGCTGCTGGTGTCATGACACACCTCAAGGCTGCTGGTGTCATGACACACCTTACAGCTGCTGATGTCATGACACACCTTAAGGCTGCTGGTGTCATGACACACCTTAAGGCTGCTGATGTCATGACACACCTTACAGCTGCTGGTGTCATGACACACCTTAAGGCTGCTGGTGTCATGACACACCTTAAGGCTGCTGGTGTCATGACACACCTTACAGCTGCTGGTGTCATGACACACCTTACAGCTGCTGGTGTCATGACACACCTTACAGCTGCTGGTGTCATGACACACCTCAAGGCTGCTGGTGTCATGACACACCTCAAGGCTGCTGGTGTCATGACACACCTTACAGCTGCTGATGTCATGACACACCTTAAGGCTGCTGGTGTCATGACACACCTTAAGGCTGCTGGTGTCATGACACACCTTAAGGCTGCTGGTGTCATGACACACCTTAAGGCTGCTGGTGTCATGACACACCTCAGTGCTGCTGGTGTCATGACACACCTTACAGCTGCTGGTGTCATGACACACCTTACAGCTGCTGGTGTCATGACACACCTTAAGGCTGCTGGTGTCATGACACACCTTAAGGCTGCTGGTGTCATGACACACCTTACAGCTGCTGGTGTCATGACACACCTTACAGCTGCTGGTGTCATGACACACCTCAGGGCTGCTGGTGTCATGACACACCTTACAGCTGCTGGTGTCATGACACACCTTAAGGCTGCTGGTGTCATGACACCTCGGGGCTGCTGGTGTCATGACACACCTTAAGGCTGCTGGTGTCATGACACACCTTACAGCTGCTGGTGTCATGACACACCTTAAGGCTGCTGGTGTCATGACACACCTTAAGGCTGCTGGTGTCATGACACACCTTACAGCTGCTGGTGTCATGACACACCTCATGGCTGCTGGTGTCATGACACACCTCAAGGCTGCTGGTGTCATGACACACCTTAAGGCTGCTGGTGTCATGACACCTTACAGCTGCTGGTGTCATGACACCTTACAGCTGCTGGTGTCATGACACCTTACAGCTGCTGGTGTCATGACACACCTTAAGGCTGCTGGTGTCATGACACACCTCATGGCTGCTGGTGTCATGACACACCTTAAGGCTGCTGGTGTCATGACACACCTTACAGCTGCTGGTGTCATGACACACCTTACAGCTGCTGGTGTCATGACACACCTTACAGCTGCTGGTGTCATGACACACCTCATGGCTGCTGGTGTCATGACACACCTTAAGGCTGCTGGTGTCATGACACACCTTACAGCTGCTGGTGTCATGACACACCTTAAGGCTACTGGTGTCATGACACACCTTAAGGCTGCTGGTGTCATGACACACCTTAAGGCTGCTGATGTCATGACACACCTTAAGGCTGCTGGTGTCATGACACCTTACAGCTGCTGGTGTCATGACACACCTTAAGGCTGCTGGTGTCATGACACCACAGCCCATAGGACTGCCATGTCCACGACACACATCAGATGCAATAAGTTGTCCACACATGATGATGTATGAAGTCTTTATTTGTTTCTTTACATACCAAACACAGCTCCTAATCAATACTCTATGGAAGCATACATTGGTCTTTCAACTTTTTGTTTGAAACATCTGTCAATTTTACTTCTTTGAGAGGAAACATTGTCTTGTAGTTAGACCCAGACACATAGAATCAATGATGGACAGACACATCACTGAGATCAAAGCTAGACACTGTCTTGTAGTTAGACCCAGACACATAGAATCAATGATGGACAGACACATCACTGAGATCATAGCTAGACACTGTCTTGTAGTTAGACCCAGACACATAGAATCAATGATGGACAGACACATCACTGAGATCATAGCTAGACACTGTCTTGTAGTTAGACCCAGACACATAGAATCAATGATGGACAGACACATCACTGAGATCTAGACACTGTCTTGTAGTTAGACCCAGACACATAGAATCAATGATGGGTATATCACTGAGATCCTGAGTGTTGCTTGTTTGTTGCAAGTCAACATAACCTTAACCCTAATCAGTTGCATTACATTAAGGCACTCAGCTTCTATGCAAGAGGGTTACCCTAGCTGTTAGCATTGTAAAGTGATGGTGATGTATATCACAGATGTGGAAGGGTGACATTGAAGGGACCAAGTAAGACATTGTTGGAAGAAAAAGTCCACTACCGTTTGACAGATAAGTTCATCAAACTGGCCAGCACAATAAATACAGATGGAATAATCCAAAACAAGAATGGTCATCTTCACATATTTATACCAAAAATCAGATGTTTGGAATAGTCTATGGTTAGTAGGTGGTCCCTGGATACAAGCACCACTTTCATGCCCACAAAAAAAGCAAACAAATAAATGGCAAAAAAGAAACTGAGTGAAAAGTATTTTTAAAATCTTGTACAACTGATTACAGCATACATGCAACAATGAGCTTCATACAATATATCATCACTCATTTTATATACAATCAAAGAACAAAATCTCAAAGCTATTCAGCAACTTGATGGTAGACAAAAAGAAATGTTTTTTACCAGCTTTCAATCTTTAAAATCATTATGCCAGTCACACTGCAAATCTCTAATGACTTTGAATTTAATGCTATACAAGAAACAATTGGATTTGATGGGGCTTGGGAAAAATCACAAGAAGTATGGAAATGTAGAACAAAAAGTAACAAAATAATAAACATTTTAAAATCACTTCATATAGCAAACAGCCTTTGTTCTCTCTACTTAAAACTAAATTGTTCTAAGCTGACATTTAAAAAAATAAGTTTGCTTTTCTATGCAACTATCTCTCTTTAAAAAAAAGCAAGAACAGCATTGGACAAATTGTCTTCAACTTGATTAAACAATCAAATCATCCTGACCAATGAAATTTCAAAATAAAATCTATGACAAATAAAATAGTGCCAGTTTTTATACATATAAGCTAATACAAGATTACTACATCATAAACCTAAAGTTTGGTTTGGTGTATTAAAATCAGGTTTTGCTGTCAAGGTTGTGTACATTTTAAGGATTGCTTGGTGAAACCATTTAAAACACTTCTCAATTATCTTTCTTGAGATTATGCATGAATGAAATAATTTGAGAAAACGCTGTATTTGCTAGTTTTTGTTCTACAGAGAATTTAAGGAAGCTAGAAACATTCCAAAAGATAAAAGCTTTACATAACTTCATTAGACTATTAAAGTTTATTACATAGGTCATACAGTTAATTTACTGTTTAAAAAGAAATATTTTGACAAATCAAATGTGTACAAGCTTAAGCATTTACAGATATTTATTTTAAACAGGATCATCAAAATAATGAATAACATAACTGACACAAAACATACTTTAAAGTCCAGCTGTTGAATTCTAGAGTTATTTAATCTGTAGGAGTTTTCAATAGCATTCAATAAAAAAAAAAAGAAAATGACTAGAATATTCAACAAACGTGAGTCAGTGCTGCAGTCTTGTGGTGTAGAGTTAGGAAGGTGTATTTGTTTTCACCCATGGTGAACAAAGAACTTTCACCAAAACTTTCTCATTATTCTAATTTTTTTTAAGTATACCCAAGCTTTTTTGGTAATATATATGTGATGTAGATTGAAAGCTTAAGTTCTTAAACAACTTAAAATATTCACATCACCTGGGGTTAGCAGTATAAAAATAAGATGGCATATTTTTTAGTGCCAAGAGCTGCTGGAAAGCAAGTATTTTTACAAATGTCAATGTATACCACAAATGAAAAGTGTAGGTAGAGCTGAGGGCAGCTTGAATTCTACTCAAAACACATTTACACTTGACAGACAAATCACAAGCACTCATTACTTTGTTGCATAATCGACTGTCTCGGAAAGTTTTCAGAAAAAAAAACAAATGGGTTCAAAGTTTGATACAATTGTTGCTTGAGTTTTTAATTTTAATCCAAAAATTTTTAAATTTGCTAATGGTATCCTATTTCTACTGAGTTTAGGAATAAAATTAGAATTTTTTTTTCAATTAAACAATGCAATTCAGTCCAGTAGCATTAGAAAATTTAATGTGTATTTTCTTTTGAAAGAATACATAAATTCTAATGGTGTAACTGAATGAGTTGACAAAGTTCATCAAAACAGAACTAACAAAAACAAACTCTTCTGTACACTTGTTTATTAGAATAGTTTAGCCCCATTCTGTTATCATAATCTGGCCATCAGGAGGAACATAATTGATTCCATTTGTACAATTAAAGATTATATCAAAGGAACTTCCATCAAAAGACAATAACTTTCTTGTAAAACAAAGAAACAGAGCGGTATTAACAGCAGAAAATATTTACACATTTTGTCAGGTGTTATTTAAGACAATGCTTTATAGAATGAATAGTAATCAAGGATATTCTTAAGTTAAATGTATAATGAAACAAGCTGAAAAAAATAGGATACAGATTTGTACTCTAAAATGGTTATGTACAGCACTAATGAATCAGCTAAGCCTCATAAGGCTCATGCATAAATAAACAATAAAAAAATCTATCTGACAGAACAATATGAAGGTATTCATTAAGACAGGTAGCTTCAAAATATGTGTAGCTTTAAAACCCTTTCAGTGTTCCAACCGTTTCACTCAAACCATTTTTATTTGATAATAAATGTCAAGTCACTCCCTAGCCCACCACTTCATCACTCTCATCACAGATACAAAGTGATAATTCTATGTACAGGTTATAGAGGGAAGGCAAATTAAGGCCTTCGTGACAAAAATGTCTTAGGGTTCAAAGATGCCAGTTTGTCTTGTACATTATCAACACTTAGATCAATGTAAATTCTCATGTAGAGACAATCTCGAGCAATGAAGCGATCTTGTCCATCAGAAAGTTCTGACAAGCTGATCAAGTTGGGTAACCCAGATGCTATGTTGGTGGCATTCACTGGTTTTTGAAATGCAGCTTGGTCACGTAAGGCATTGAAACTGACAACCTTGTGTTCTCGTAAGTTCCTCTGATCAACTATCATCATGTACACCTGTAGAATAATATATACTTTTCTAATAGATCCATTCATAAGCTATCTCAAGTGTTAACCTATTAACAGCAGAGGAAAAAAAGATTACCTTTCCAACAAAGGGCCAAGGTAGCAAGTCATCAAAAGGACCTTTCATCAGCTGTGTAAATGCTGATATAGATTTGCCTTTGGCATCTCCATCCCCATTAGGGAACAAGCGTATCCTCATCTTATAGCCAGTCTGACCAGTAAAGAATGGTGGGGAGCATATACATGGCTTGGAATCATTCACTGCATCTTGACGCAGCTTGGCAAAGTTATCCACTCTCCATGTGATTAATCCATCCTTAGCATCCAACAAAATACCTCCCTCCTGTGGATCTGCTAATGTTGTTGGGTTCATAGGTAAACTCTGAAGTTTATTTTCTAGAGTAGCAATACTTCGCTCGATAGTCTGTTTGACATGGAAAAAAAAATGAACAAGGTTTCATTTTTAAGGATAGTATCAGCTTTTAACTAAATCAAAATAAAATCATCATTTAACAAACTAGCAAAATAAATCCATCAACTTACTTGAATTTTGTCCTTATTTTCTCTATTATATTTAGTTTCCTGTTCTAAATTTCTGGCCAATGCCTCCACTTGTTTAATACATCTAAGAATTTCTCCATGTAGCACAGCCATCAGGTCCTCATGCAGCTTGAGTTTTTGTCTCTCTTCTGTTGTCATTGAGCTGCTGCCTACAAGTAACAGCAAAATCACACTATAGTTAATATGTTGCCAGCATTAAAATCACATTACAGTTAATATGTTGCCAGCATCAAAATCACACTACAGTTAATGTGTTGCCAGCATCAAAATCACATTACAGTTAATGTGTTGCCAGCATCAAAATCACACTACAGTTAATGTGTTGCCAGCATTAAAATCACATTACAGTTAATATGTTGCCAGCATCAAAATCACACTACAGTTAATGTGTTGCCAGCATTAAAATCACATTACAGTTAATATGTTGCCAGCATCAAAATCACACTACAGTTAATGTGTTGCCAGCATCAAAATCACATTACAGTTAATGTGTTGCCAGCATCAAAATCACATTACAGTTAATGTGTTGCCAGCATCAAAATCACATTACAGTTAATGTGTTGCCAGCATCAAAATCACACTACAGTTAATGTGTTGCCAGCATCAAAATCACATTACAGTTAATATGTTCCCAGCATCAAAATCACACTACAGTTAATATGTTGCCAGCATCAAAATCACACTACAGTTAATGTGTTGCCAGCATCAAAATCACACTACAGTTAATGTGTTGCCCAGCACCAAACCCACCAAAGACAACACAATATTTACCTGCTCCCCTATAACACCACCCCACTAGAGGTGTTGCCCAGCACCCACCAAAGACAACACAATATTTACCTGCTCCCCCCCAATATCCACCAAAGACAACACAATATTTACCTGCTCCCCTATAACACCACCCCACTAGAGGTGTTGCCCAGCACCCACCAAAGACAACACAATATTTACCTGCTCCCCCCCAATATCCACCAAAGACACCACACTATTTACCTGCTCCTCTTATAACACCACCCCACTAGAGGTGTTGCCCAACACCCACCAAAGACACCACAATATTTACCTGCTCCCCCTTCAGCCCCAGCTACACCAGCCCCACTAGATGAGTCTCCGTGTTGACCAGCCTCTGCCCCAGAGTGAGCTGAGTTATCTACAGCACCTGCCACTGCTCCAGGTGTGGAGGTTTCTATCTGTGCAATGTGCCTTTCTAAGTGTTTCATCTTATCAAACAAAAACAGCATGTGTTTTTGGGTCCCCAGTGTAGACTTGCTGAAGTGATTTAAAAACTGATCTAGAGGGAGCTGAAACAAAATATTTACTTCCTGGAGTCATTTAAAAACAGATTCAGTTTGTGTATCTATATCTTCCTACGTTTCAAATAGTTTTACTCAAAACTGCTTTAGTGCACAAATATATAATTTTCAATTATTAAAAGATTAGAAATATAATAGCCATTTTAGATACAAGTATTCTGGCATTACTAATGAAAACAAAAATCATCAACAAAAGATTCTCTGGAAGAGCTAACAAAAGTAAAACAAGATTCTCACCGATGCTTTACAATCAGGGACAGGACACTCTACAATGCGGTGGACACATTCATCTTCTTTGTGAGTTTGAAGCTGTTACAACACACAAAAATTAAAACATGGTCAAAGTTACACTCAAGACTCAAGATAGTAGGACAAACAGAAAGTAAAATCCAGACCTTAGGATGGAAAGATTGATGAGATAAAAATAATTGAAGATCTTTATAAAATGTTCCTCTTTACATTTTTAAATTCCTTTCTGTTTTTCAACATAGGTAGAATCCTTGGATCAAAATTTGACCCACTTCAATTATGTGTGATTTTTTAGACTAATGTGTGCATTCTTTAGTAATACTTCTAATTCACTGGAGAGTTCCATCTCATTTCTCTATATACTGACTACATTAAGTTACATCCCTCCCTTTCTTTATGTCTGAAGGATCCCTCAATTATCTAATCTCCAAAAAAACGCACAGGCCAACTTGAGCAAACAGTAGATCAGAAGAGCACACAAAACTTTCATATTATATCACTTTATTATCAGACCCCACTTTGTATCGATACATCTCTTTTAACAGAGAAAGACTTGCACCAAAAGCACCGAAAAAATTATCATGCTTATCTGGCTTTGTATTGAATGACTACACATTGCATGAATTTAGATGAGTCTCATAAATTGTGATGTTACGTCTGGTTAACAAAATAGTGTTGTTACGTCTGATTTGAAAAAGTGCAGGGTGAGAAAATATCCCAAAACTATATTTGGTCTAATGGATATTTGATCTTTATTTGTGTTCCCTTCCCATTAAATCATGATTTTTTTTAGGACAAAAATCTTTTCACTTATAAGAGGTACTGACTCTTACCATAATCTGATGGAAATGTATTGTTTTTTTTTTGTTAAAGCTTAGAGGTAAAAAATAGCAGATAATATAAAAATGTTTACAATAATAAACTATACATGCACTAAAAAGAAAATTAAACGATTTTCTTTAAATATAAAATAATATAGCACCATTTTGCATAAATAAAAGGTTGGGTCATTAATAAAAATCATCACTAGAGTATTCAAAGCAAGAAATATAATATTATTAAACCAGCTTACATATAGGTAAATATAAAATAATATTCTGTAAGTAGCATATAAGAATGAAGATGTAACTCTGTTTATACTGGGAGATTAGCCAACACTTTTACAAACTTTTAATACAAAATGCATCAACCTAAACATGTATTAATAGTAAATAACTTAGTCCACTTTACTCCTTGTGGAGGATTAGGCCTCAATTTATATTTTTAAAAAATGGGACATTATAATAGGATTGAAAATCATTTAATTTAATTTTTAGTGAGTACATAAATACTTGTTAAACATTGATAATGATTTACAACTATGTTCATTACTGAACTAACTTCTCACCTCAGTTTTCAGAACTGGCTTATAACACTTGTCACATTTCACTGGTTTGTTTGGACAACTTTCTTGGTGTTTCTGATAAGTCAAAGTAATACATTTTCAAACAGAATATTCACTTTCACAGAAATGTTTAAAATATAAACATTAAAATAAATCTCTAAATAACTTTGTAATCTATTTTTTAACCATGCCAACTAAAATATTTTCTTTACACCAGCAGAATCTCCCCTTTTGCTTATTTCTTTGCTAAAGTTATAACCATCTTTAAACATATACAATTTCTTTAGAAAGGTAATCCTCTTGAATTGATAAATAAGATTGCTTGCTTAATCTACACTGTACAAAAAATTTTTAAAATGAATGTTTTTATGAAAAATGAGAATTGAAAAAATAATCCCTTACCAAGTGCTTACTTATCTGACATTTTAAAACTTCTTAAATTGTATTCCAAATGAAAAAATATTATATTACTATTCTTATATTATGCCCATATTTATCAATAACAATTATTACACTTTACAAGCTAAAAATAACAATTTTAGACATATATACCAATGGCGACTGCAATCAAATATAAACCACCCTAGCCCTACTTTGATTTGAATATTGAGTAAACTAAAAACTAAACCCCAGAGATTTTATAAAAAGTATCAGAATCAAATATCTTGCCTCTAGTTGATCATGTACTGTTTCAACCTTGCAGTAGGGACACGAGACAATCCTTTTTGGGCATTTTTTTGTTTCATGATGCTGTAATGAAGATTGTGTTACAGCAACTCCACACAACTGACAGTTGACCATTTTTTTATCACACTCTGTCTCATGACTCTGTAGATAAATGATCTTGTTTAACACAACAAAGCACTTGTACAAACAAGACGATAATGAAAATGTCAACATTAGAGCTAAATAGAAAGAACCCTCTGGTGTCGACTCTCAGGCTAAAAAAAAAAAGTTTCCCGTCATCAGATAGCTGATTGAGCAATCGCTAGTATTTAATAAAATAAAGTAAAGTTTAATTTTACTGACTAATCTAATGTCTATTTATATTAAAAATTAGATATTCTTGCATTGTCATGGGAAACGGGAAAGTTTTAACAAAATAGTTGCATTAGAAGTGGGACAAAATTGTGCTACAAGATGTTGCCAAAAACCCACACTAAAACAGAAATTGAAAGCTTATAAAAACAAATGCTTTGATAAATGGCTTACAATATATTCAGCAAAAGTTCCTTTCCACTGGCAGCCTGGGTTAGGACATCTAGTTGCTATTTTTTTCATCTCTCTGATGGCAGCCTTATCTTCAAACATCTATAGAGAAAAACAAACCATTTTATAATGTTGTTGATGCTATCACAGCCAATCAGGTTTATAAATATGTTGTTGATGCTAATCACAGCCAATCAGTTTTATAATGTTGATGCTAATCACAGCCAATCAGTTTTATAATGTTGATGCTAATCACAGCCAATCAGTTTTATAATGTTGTTGATGCTAATCACAGCCAATCAGCTTTATAATGTTGATGCTTATCACAGCCAATCAGTTTTATAATGTTGTTGATGCTAATCACGGCCAATCAGTTTTATAATGTTGATGCTATCACAGCCAATCAGCTTTATAATGTTGTTGATGCTTACAACTAAGTTTTTATTGGTCAATAAATTGAATAGGTTTAAAATGACTTACCAACTCACATAACACACACAAGCAAAACTTAACAAAGTAATAGTGTCAATACTTTAAAGAAGTTGTTTTGTTATAGTTGAATTTGATGTTATTGCTTGAAATGACATTCTCTTATAAAAATGTATTTTCTAATTAAGTTTTATTTAGACATTCTAAGAATTATTTTCTAAAAGAAAAACTGTATAATTTCTTTACCTTTTCAGGTTCTAGAAGTGCCTCATCCTCTGGTACCTGCTCTTTCACACAAGCCTTACACAACATGCGCTGTTTGTTGACTTCATTGCTGCAAACAATTTAAAGTTCAAGAATAGAGGATATGACAGAGAAATATATACTACAGCACAGTCAAAAATGGAAACAAGGCATGATAAAAAAAAAGTAAAATAAAATACATGTGACTTGTTTTAAACAATATACACATGCAAGATTTCAGCATAAAAAGTATAAAGTTTTTCTAGCTTAGGTTTTTAATTGGCCACTTTCAAGTCTCAACTGTAGGGTCACATTAAACTGTATTTCTCTGAGCTAATCAAGTACACAATCAATCACTGAATGGCTGACATTTTTTATCACCTAGGAAGAAGAAAAAAAAGCACAAGACAAAATGTCTCCTTACCTTCTAGCTAGTTCATCTTTGCAGCTCTGGCAAAATCTATGGCCACACTCACTCTGTAATGGGTTCCTTAGGATGAGTTCACAATGTCCGCAGAGAAACTTTTCTTCTACAGGGCTAACACTGATTGCCTTTGGGTAGCCTCTGGCTTGTGATGTGAATACCACTGGAGCGGATGCTTGAGCCATTATTTCTACAGTAGAATCTGCTTGAAGATCCATACAAACAGAAATCTACTCAACCTTTTTTATGCTGCTGGTCTCAGCACTATCCTATGTTCATTCAACAAATCTGTAGTAGAGAGAAAAAATGTAAAGTTACATGATACATATCACTGACAAAACAAAATGAATATTCTTAAGGTTTAGAAGTACTGACAAAACAAAATGAATATTCTTAAGGTTTAGAACTACAAAATGTTGAGATAACTACACCAATATGTTGAGATAACTACATCAATATGTTGAGATAACTACATCAATCTACATCAATATGATGAGATAACTACAGCAATACGCTGAAATATTGCAGAAGGTTCCAGTCATATGTTTCCAATAAATATTTGCAGTCTTATTAACAGTAGATACAAAAAATCAGGTGAAATAAGCCAACTGGTCCTAATATTCAGCAACTATTAATGTTAATGTTAACTTCAGCAGTGGGCTCATCTTTATATCCAAGATGACTTACATTAGGTATAACTTGAATATATTATACTACCAATAAAAACTAATGACTTAACTGCTGTTAGAAAAATAGTTTAAAAAAATGTCAAGCAACCATAAAACATGTTAGAACCTATATAAGAACCAACTCTTAAATGCACAAAAACCAAGAAATAACGTTTCTTTATAAAAATAAAAGCATTGGTTGATCATGAAATCTTTCCAATACACTTCGCTAAGTTTTAAAACAACAATTATATCATGTCCACAACACATATTTCCTCCAAACTGGATCAGTGACTTGGGAACAATGTTTGTCAATATGAAACTGTGGCTTGTTTTCTTATCTCCTCAGTTATGCCACAACATTATTACTTACATTAGTGAGCCCTGTAAATCTAACTAATCAATACCTCTTAGTTATTGTTGTACTCTTTAAATATTTTATAAATGACTAATCTGTTATTTAATTAGATTTAAATATGTCTCTATTGTCATTGAAGATGGACTAGTATGTATAATTTGAAAGAAACCCTATACAAAATGTGTCAAAATTGATACAAAGTTTGACAACAAACTTAACAACCCACACACAGAATTTGTGATTTACGCCCCACTTATGGTAAATAAAGCTCTAAAAGCCCAATCAAGTCTCACTAAACAAGCCTCCACCCCCAAGTTGTACCGTTACAAAATTACAACTGTTTCATTTGTATCAAAACTATTTTTTTGTTTTGTTGGGTGCCAAATCGTAATAGACTGTAGACTTTAAAAAATGTACTTCAACCATGCAAAATACTCAAAAGGCAAAAATGTTATGTTCTACAGCTTAAGACTTAAGTTCTTAGAGTGTTAACATCTCAAAAAGAGACAGAGGTGAAAAATGTCTATGAAAAATAGCTAACATTACCAAGTGCTCTACCAAGCCATGAGGTATGATGGCAGATGTAAGAGAAGTGATAAACTCTGCAGTACATGCAGGGACAATAACAACTGTAGAGTTCATGAGATACCTACAAAATACTGTCAATAACAACTGTAGAGCTCTACATGCAATAATCGTAAGTAGAGTTCATGAGAAATTGAGATACCTACGAAATACAGTCAATAACAGCTGTAGAGCTCTACATGAAATAATCACAAGTAGAGTTGATGAGATACCTACGAAATACTGACAATAACAACTGTAGAGCTCTACATGAAATAATCACAAGTAGAGTTGATGAGATACCTACGAAATACTGTCAATAACAACTGTAGAGCTCTACTCTACATGAAATAATCACAAGTACAGTTCATGAGATACCTACAAAATACTGTCAATAACAACTGTAGAGCTGTACATGCAATAATCACAAGTAGAGTTCATGAGATACCTACGAAATAATATAAGTACCCCATCACCCAAAACTGTAAGTACCCCATCACCAAAAAAATGAAAGTAGGCTACCACATCACCAAAAAAAAAGCACACCAAAATAAAATGGATGACAATATTAAGTAATTGTAAATTGTAGAGGTGCAAATACCTGCTTGTATTATGGTGTGAATGAGATGAATTAAAAAGATGAGTGAAACTTTACAATCAAATAAATCCAAAAGCCTTCAGGAGCTGATGGAAAGTTTGCTGAATGATCAATAGAAAAATCCAGGCCTATGTATAAATATCAAAGCTATGACAAGATGAAAGTACACACAACGACTGGAAGAAAATAACATAATGATGTAATTAGGGAGTCATTCATTATTCTATAACCAGCTAAATTTTTATTATTATCACTTGTGCCTGGGTCAATAGGGCTTCATACTAAAGAGAACTTCTTAAACAGTCTCATGTTTGAACTAGCCCACATGACCTACTCTAGTGGGGGTTTAATCAAGTATGGAAACAAACAACAAAGTTGTCTAACATGACAATCCCAAACCAAGCTTTCACCTTCATGTCAACACTAGGAAAAATTGGAGTGGTGAAGAAGATAATTTTTTAAAATAAGCAAAAAGAGTTGAGAGAGACTTTTGTAAAAATGTGTATTCTAAAGATTAAAGAGTAAGTAACAAGATTTTAATTATTAGAAACAGAAGAGTGCTAGTTTTCTCTTTGTCTAGCTATTATTAATGTATAAAAACAATATTTAAAAGAGAGAAAATATTTGGGTTAATTACTTTTTTTATGCTACTAGTACTTGTCATGTTTTTTAAGTAAACAAATAATGCTACAAGTCATGTTTGTTGATGCTAAATATTTTACAATTTTAAAAATGTGCATCATAATTCAGATTTTTTAGGTGACTCAAAATCTGGACGATATTAATGTGTGTGAAGGCCTCATGTTAGATTTATCCATTTAAAAATGTGCAAACAAGTTGTAAATAGGCCTACAACAAAGAATGAAGTTTTGAAAAATTCAGACATTTTTTAGGTTGGCAAAATATTCTGAAATTGCTTCAATCGAATAATTTTGATTGAAAATATTAGCATCAATTTCAGTTGAATTAAGTTTCTTGTTCAATAAAGTTTTTAAAAAAAAAATCATTTTACTCTTTTTCAAAATATAATTTTTAAGTCAATAAATTTTAATTTTTAGAGATGTTAATTTACAAACAAATCTATTAGATTTGTGGCAATGAATGATACTTAATTTAATATTTATGCAGTAAACTGTGACTTATTTGCCAAATAATCAGTGACATTTGTTAAGCTTATAAAAGTTTTTAAGTTATAGGCATGTAGTTTAGTTTCATCGTATTCATCTAAGTCCTTTAAACATCACAAAACTTCACTAAGTAAAATCAATTTAGGATAAAAACTTCATTAATTTTCAGTTTTCTTTTCATTTGATTTTGTGAACAGTGGCCTTAGTGTTTAGTGGAATGAATTGAATAGGCTAAATGAACATGGCTTGAAAAAAGATATTAATACTAAGTATTTGGCTAGGCCTACTGTAGAATCTTTTTTAAACCAATCCAACATATGCCTAATCTTACATTATCAAAAATAAAATAAAAACATTGCACCCTAAGAAAACTAAAGAAAATTTAAATTAATATGCCTAGGGCCTAATTAATTAGCTTGAGGCATATTTCATACTCATAGAACTATTAATAATTAATCTAACATTGATTGATGGAGCATCACAGTTTTACATATTTAAAAGTATAAAAAGGTATAAAAAGTAAACTAAAGTGAAGGTAACTGTTACTGGTACTGATTAAGAAGGCAGGCAAACATCAAGGAAGGTCACAATTTAGCCTATAAAACTTGTTTATGCATTCATTCATTTTCTAATTTTGAAGTAAGAACAGCTCTGAAATTCTGCAATTTTTCTTGCGTGATGGTAAAAAAAAAGCAGATAGGCCCTATATTATATAATCGGTATTAATTTTGTTGGAATTAATTTTATGTTTCATTTTTAAACGGTTTTATTATCTATTATTTAACTTTTAAATGTTTACAACTGTGCTTAGCCTAGTTAACATGTCTCATGTGACATGTATGCTATTCGAGGAAAAATCATGACGCAGTCGTAAAAAGTTTAGTAAAAATCAAACCATATTCTTTTACCAAAACATTTTGAACACTTTCAACTTTAATCTTTAAGCTAATTCACTTAAGCAGTATTAAGAAGAATGAATAATTATTACCAAGTTATTGAAACTTACTAGTCAAGAAAAGCACAGACGCCATACGAGAAAAGACGCAGACTATCGGAAATAGCTACACTCCCGACTTTTCCTACAAAAACGGCACTTTTATACGAAATAACAAATGAATACGTATCCTTTTAAAGATATTCACTTACTAATATTTACTCCGATAAGTAATAACAGAATAATAACTCAAAAATGTTTCTATATACGCAGTAGCTGAACAAATTAAGTCTTCTGGTATTGAAGAAAAAGTTACGGCTTGACAAGGATGGCGTCCCCAGCCATGAACTTCGCTGTTGTTCTAAAAATAAGCTAAGATTACATGGACTGACTGGAATTTCCCTCTCTAAAAATAGATCTAGACGTGGAGGCAATATCTCTATTTGTGAGCCTCTGTAATAATTATTAATTAACAGAAACTTTATAAAAAAAATAACCATTAATGAGTTTTCAAACCTAATGCTTTGCATAAAATGAGTCAAAATTTTAAAAGTAACAAGCACTATTAGATTATATATCTACTTCTAAAGTAGGCATATATAATACAGAGTGACAGTACTAAGTCTCCTTATAATTTTTAAAATATTTATTCGGTGGCAATTTTATTATAGGGTTTAAATTTAGATTCCTGTCATGGCTCAGGCATAATATATAGCATATAGATCTAAATCTAGATCTAGATCTATATAGTTTACGTCAGGCAAACGTCTTCAGTTACTTTTAAAGTAATTTCTAGCTATATTGTTGCTTTTCTTTCCAATACCAATGACAGAATATTTATTAATATTTTTAAGCACCAAGTAGGCCTATATTAATCTTTGGATGCTTTTTTTTTTTTTTACCTTATGAAATACTTTGTCACTGAACTTAAGTGGCTTCCTGCCGTGGCCTTTTTCAAATGAAACTAAACGGGAAATTAAGGAGTCAAAAATAGAATATACTAATGTAGGTGAGGCATACGACAATTTGCCTACTTAGAGCTATCCACATGTTAAATGTAGGGCATAAGGAATTTGATAACAAAGCCTTGGCTCGTTCTTAAATAAATAGCCTACTCAAAATCTAAAAGAACTTAAATATATTAAATTGTTTTAACTATCAAAGATTGACATTGCAATATATATTGGCTTATAATTATATGTATGGTGTATAGAATAAAGTATTATAAAGGTTTATATATATAGGGCCTATATAATATATATATGTATATATATATATATATATATATATATATATATATATATATATATATATATATATATATATATGTATGTATATATATAGGCATATTTATAAACATTATAGGCCTATATATTATTATATATTAATAAACATATACAAATATTATTATGTAGGCTTCATATATATATATTTCATCATTATATAAGCCTATATATATATGATATATGTACATAATAAAGGTATATATATTATATATTAATATACATATATATTTATATATTTAATTAATATTATTATGTAGGCTATAGGCCTAGTCCTATATTTATTATTGAGCTGTGTAGGGTGTTTTTATTTAAAAACTTGATTAAATTAAATGCATCAATTCAATACTCAATACATTGTTAATATTTATTTTTAATTCCTAATTAATTATCACGATTCACTATTAGTATTTTACTACTTACAACACAAGTTAAACCTTGTTCTTTCATTTATAAATTAAAAGACCTAGACTCCTAGACTAGGTAGAATCTAATCGAGTCTAGAAATCTAGATTCTAGATCAAGATTTATAAATCTAGTTTTCAAATTAAAAGAAATATGTTTTTTCCTCTGTCAAGCTGTTTGTGTTAAGTTTGAGATTTGTACTGCATTTAAGTATCACTCAAACTGAAACGTATGACTATTTAATATGGTTTAACAAACAAAACTGAACTAATAAAATAGGAGGGAAAATTGACCTTACCTTCAAATTTATTTTTTACACTTGGTATTACTAATAGGTATGGTTTCGAAAAATGTAAAATGAATTTCCGTTTCTAAAAATAACTTAAAAGCAGAAGTATGGATAAGGCAGTGCGACTTCTCTCCCTGTCCTTTTGCTGCAACAGCAAAACAGCTGAGTGATAGGTCAAAATATCTTTGTATGTCAGATCTATTTTTATACCGTTTTCTGTATTTTATTAATTTTTGTCATTTTAATGCTTTTAATTACCTCATGTGAATAATAATAAGTTATCTGCGTAGTTAATATTTAATTTAACAAGCTCGATTACTTGTAGGCTTTATTTATTTTCTTATAAAGGCAGAGTATAAGCCGTAAGCCTATGGGATCCAGATATTTTATGATCGACAGTTCTCACATTTTACTTAGGCCTATTGTTTAAAAGCATGCTAGATTTTGATCTATAGATCTAGTTGTAATTAGGATTTTTTTAAATTGCACGCTCTATTCACTTGCAGTGATTTTATTGTGCAAAAGAAGGCTTATTATTTTCATATCTTTAAAATTACAAATCAACCAAACTAATTGAACACAAGGGCGGTAGACATGAGTGTTTGACATATACCTTCTAAATCCAATTGACGTTTGTGACGTGTTCAGTGAAGAGGGGGGGGGGGGGTGACCAATCATAGAGGGCGTACTGCGGCAGTATGCCTACCTGTGTACTCTGACAGCATCGGTCTCCCCAAAAAGTGATATTTAAATACATTGGGTTTTTTTTTTTTCAGCAGACGGGATTCGGCCATCATTCGGGCCTTTGTTAAATCGAGAACACGTTTTCTAGAGCTAAATAAAACAAGCTTTTTAAATTTTAAACGCACAAAAATAAAAATAGACATACCTTTTCTTATGCTATTCATAAAACCTTTGTTCGCAATATTTCTGGAGATAATAGATATCAGCGCTAGTAAGGAGTTAACATAAACATTTTCCCCCTTAAAAGTGTGTTATCCTAAAGGTTCGTATACCAGTTTTCTTTTCTACTTTTTTAATGGAATAAGGCATATTCAGATCCATTTTAAAATTAATAGTTATAAAAGCCACCGATCTTCATACATCGATCCCTATACCCACCACAAACTGGTTTTTAGTTTGCGACAAATTGTGTCCAGTGTTTCTTTCATGCCTCTCTAGGTTAGGGGCGGAGGAGTGCCCCACCCCACCCTCGGAAGAATATTTAAACACACACAGTCTATATTATATAAACCAGAGTTTTCTGCTGCCAAGAAAAATATATGAAAGTCTAGCCCTTATAATGTCTGGACACTATAGACGAGTTTCATGACTAGATCTACTCCTTGTAGCGTGTCTAGGTTCTTCATGAATACCAGTTCATCTGACTCACCAAGTGCTTGCTGCCTTTGTGTCCCTTTTGTTTCAAGATTTGTAATCGTAATATTAATTCGTGATGAATAATGTATTATACCTAAGTAGATTGAAACTATCGGTGGTGGGGGTGAGGCGGGCACAGGTAAAAGTATATATTTTCTATTTCTATTCTATTTCGTTCGGGAGCGGGGGTGGGGGTAGGGGTAGTGCACCCCCCTAAGAAATGTCTGAAAGAAACACTGCACAGACCCACCCCCTCACACATTAATTTTGACGAATGTGACCTATTGTAATAAGCTTGTAACATAGCAGACAATTTCACTGTAATGTGGTCGAACAAAGAGTTCTGTTACTTTGGACGTAGTTTATTATGGTATTAGTTTTAAGAAAACCCTGGCGATTTGGTTTAAAAAATTAAAATACAAATTAACAAAGCTAATCAACGTAATGTAGTATAAAGGAACAATGTTGTCTGTAATATCTCAGCCTGTAAAAACCAATGTTGTCTGTCTGTTGTCAGTCTGCCAACTCTCAAGATATCCCTAACTATAGATCGATATTCAAGAACAAACGCAGAGCCGCGTGTTGCTATCTCTGGCATGTTCAGATTCATATGTAGCCTGTGTAAGGAAAAAAATCCAGTTCGATGTTTATGTAATAAGATACAGCAGATGTACAGTAAAACAATGGTTGACAAAAACAAAGCTCTAGATTGGGGGTTTGTCCAATTATTGAAATATGTACAATCGACCAAGCAGGAATTGTGGCTTAATAAATAATATTTAAACTATCTTTTTATACTCCTTTAAATTTTATTCCAATTTGTAAATGTACCTTTAATTATGAATACTGTTTGTATTTTAGTTAGTAAAGCACGATACTGCATTTAGAAAACAATTCACAGAACATTTTGTGAACACAAATCGAGTAAAATAAAACGGGTATTTTTATAATTTGGACCAGACACGCTGGGCGGCGAGTACTAGGCTATATCGATCCATGTCACTGACCTCTTCCTTCCCCTACCCAACCCTCCAAACGATTACACTTGGAAACCTTTGCCTCAAGGAATGATTGATTGTCCATAGTCATTAGGTACCAAATGATGGGTTTAAAAAATATCTAGATAGGCTCAGATTATAGGTACCTAAATCACGTAAGTGAAACAAAGGCGGCTGGACATGCGCTGACCACACTATCCCCTATTATGCCGAGGTCATTGAAACAGATGATCTATTTATAATCTGCTCGGTCGTTTTTTTGTTTTGTTTAAAGTACTTAACAGTCATGTGTTGATCTATTATATTTTATATGTATACAATATTAAATAATAATGATAAGCCTTTTATACTCAACTATATTTAGATAAACTTTTAAACTTGTTTAAATAATTTTTAAAAAATTATTCAGTTCACTAAATCTAACAATGAATAAAATGAAGCCACATAGGACCAACAGGCTACAGTTACAGTTACACTAGCTAGGTCAGGTCTCTACATTAAGTAACTCAACTGTCTAGACGCATGCTAAATTAAACGAACACATTTTATTTATTTATATTATTTCAAATAAAATAGTATAGAGTTATCCAAGCAATGGTTTACTTAGTTACAAAAAGAATAACAAAAAGAAAAAACACCAGTCATCGATAAGACAACAAAACTGTTGCTCTATCTTCCGCGCCGTAACGTCATCGCTATATTTAAAAACGGACAACTCGCAGACCGGTTAGGGGTCAAAGTTTAGTGAGCAAGCCTTTTTTAGTTGGTCGTGTTTAGTAGTTGCTGAGGGGTTTTGTTTTTTAAATATTTAGTTATAAACATTATAAATTTCAATATTTAGTTTTAAGCTTTGATATTATATTTCTTTTTTTTAACACATAAAAGATAAATCAAAATAATTAGGCCTAGGCCCTAATAATTGGCTTTACTCTAAGGTCAACACAATATAGCTATATATTCGTCGTAGCTTTACTGTGCAATCATATATAATTATCAATCCAACAAAAGTCATATATATATATATATATATATATATATATATATATATATATATATATATATATATATATATATATATATATATATATATATATATATATATATATATATATATATATATATATATATATATATATATATATGACATAGCCCTATCTATATGTATAGCCTATATATATATATATGTATATATATATATAGGCCTATATATATATATATATATATATATATATATATATATATATATATACTATTATATACAGGCCTACATATGAAATAATAAATATAGGCATATAGACCTAGATCAATATAGGCATATATATATATATATATATATATATATATATATATATATATATATATATATATATATATATATATATATATACATACATACACAGGTAATCAACTCACCGTTTTAATTGAAGGAGGCTTCATTCAACAAAACAGACGACTCACACTGAAATTAAATAATTAGGACTGCCCTTAAAGCCTAACTATTGACTACCATTTAACTACCATTGACTACACTTATAGTTTTTGAAAATTTGGAAATACTTGTTGGTCATATTGGAATACTGTATTTTTTTCCTCGTGTTTTTTAAAGCATTTCCCAGAGACTAGCTCTAAGTTTTAAAAACTGCCCGCTATGATTATTATTACAGATTGGGCATGAACTCTGTACGGGAAACCCCGAGTAAGATTGTAAATTATTTATAGATAGGTTAATTGTCCGATACCTACTTAGTCAAAAATACGATTCGAATACGAATATGGGGATTTCCAACTGGGCGAGACGGTTCGACAGCAAAGGTCCTTTGTGTTCTACAGTTCTAGATCTAACAATTTTTTAAAAATTATTTGTATTTGGCTTTTTTTCCACAATAATTCACCAGAAAGGGCAAATTTATAACCTTTGAGTACTCCTCTGTTTGTCTTCTGCAATAAACAGAGATATAAAACTGCTTATCTTGTCTTAGATTTTTAGGCCGGGTGGCTGGTTTCTTATTTTTTTTTTTGTTGTAGTAGATTCTAGATCTCTAGTAATCTAGCAAAGTTAGGGGTGGGGGAGTGTTCAATAAGAGTTTACTTTATTTTTTACACTAGAAACTTTTATTTAAATAAAGTTAAGAATTAATCAGTTACGGTTATTCTTGCGAGTAAAAAATAGAGTATCTTTATTTCAAGTTAAAGAATATGATACTACGGCTAATTTTTAAAAGCTTAACAGGCAATCATCATTAACCAATTTTAATAAAATCTTCCGTGTCAGGACAATATTAATTTTTTTTTAAATTAAAGTGTTGTAGTCTATTATGATTCATGTTAATTTTTATTAGCTCGCTCTGGTCATGTAGTCTGTAGGCTTAATTAATTTAATTTTGCCCTTGGTCTGATTGTCATAAATTACGCATTACCTACAGATTCTTATTTTCGGTTTTTTATTATGATATTAAAACTGCTCCGTAAACTACTTTAATTAATCTTTAGTAGACACTAGCTTCTAGAATCTACATCTAGGTCTATTTAAATGATTAATTTCTTTATTATTATGCCACTGTTACCCCCCCCCCCCCCCCCACCACATAATTTAATTGACCTCATACTGTAGCCCCAACAACAAGGAAGTTTATTTTAAGAATGTCTCCTGGCTTTTTACACAGTCATGTGATGTTTATTGATAAGTGATAAAGGAGTAGCTCGAATACATTTTCAACAGTAAAAAAACTTAGATCTATATTATAGCTAGTATTTAGGCAACAGCCTATTGTGTATAGATTTTTTAAAATTTGTAAATTTTGATCTAGAGATCTAGATATTTATATATCTTTAAATTTATTAACTCAGATTTTTATAGTCCAGAAAAGAGATGAGGATGGTGATAAGTTTCCAATTTCTGCTTTTTTTTCTAAACACATTGACTTTTGGAGGATGTTATAGCTGTGTGGACCCAAATGGAAATATGGTTGACTGGTATTTACCCACATAGTTGTTCTCTTGTTTAATGTATTTGAAAATCGTTAATGAATAATAATTATTGTAATGTTTGAACTACATATACTGAGTATTTAAATTGTATTGCCACTTAACTGATTATTACATATATAACCCATTTGCTTTTATACACAGAAATCCATAAAGTTGTTGTTAGTATGTTTTGCAATAATCTATCACATTATTTTTTAGTGGTTACACATGAATCAGTAACACCACTGGCTAGTGTACTACAGCATACACAAAAAAAGAACCTAAATGTGTCTAAGTTTTACTTGTCTAAGGCTATCAAAGGGAAATAAAAATAAAATATAAAAATGTTATTTTTGTCAAGCCAGGAATTCCTTCCCTTGAAATTAAAGTTGAGTAGAATTGTATTCTTAAAAGTCAAATTGTTTTTTATTAAAAATTTTACCCCCATTGTATGTAAATTGAAAGAGCTTAATCTGAACACCCACTGACAGACATGTGTCCTGGTACAGGTTTATGGCTTACAAGACGCCAAAACTTAAGCAGCCTCGTGACTGGAGATTCAAAGATGGACTTGCACTTTATTATCTTGATGTCAACAGCCCCACACTTAAGCTGTCTGAATATTCTATCAATGATACACAGTCTCCCATCTCTAGAACTTTGGGTCAAGTATATGATCATACAGTAAGTAGCTAATGGCACAAATTTGGGTCAGAAAATTCAAATATATCTGATTTATTATCCCTAAAATATAAGTGAGTCTGAGGTATGTTGAAAAACATAAGTTCAGAAAGAAATATTAGCAAGGCTGATCAGCGTTTATAAAGATGCTAATGTTAATCATTGACTTAAAAATTGTACACAATTGGTTCATTTTAGTATGTCGCCGTCATGTGGGTTAAGCTCATAGTTTCTGAACCAGAATGTATTGAGTTCAAACTCCAGGCAGAAGAGGCTTGATAGCTGGAAACAGCCACATCTAGGAGAGTAAACTCCAAAATGAAACAACTGCTACCTCGTAGTTTGTTCTTGGTTGAACCTAAAAGAAAAGCAGGCTGACATTGTAGTCAACGGCCTATATTTTGCAAAAAAAAAGTTGACATGTAATACTTGATGGTGTTGAAGGGAATCCCTTACAACTTTTGAATTAAGAACGATGAAGAAGAAGGAGCAAGATTCATTTTATTACAAAACCATTTTTTGTGGAATATTTCAGCTTACAGCCACTTTGACCAGTGTAACACATGTTGATGTAACCCTGACCATCTAGGGCTTTGTCCAACTTTGACCAGTGTAACACATGTTGATGTAACACTGACCATCTAGGGCTTTGTCCAACTTTGACCAGTGTAACTCATGTTGATGTAACCCTGACCATCTAGGGCTTTGTCCAACTTTGACCAGTGTAACACATGTTGATGTAACCCTGACCATCTAGGGCTTTGTCCAACTTTGACCAGTGTAACACATGTTGATGTAACCCTGACCATCTAGGGCTTTGTCCAACTTTGACCAGTGTAACTCATGTTGATGTAACCCTGACCATCTAGGGCTTTGTCCAACTTTGACCAGTGTAACACATGTTGATGTAACCCTGACCATCTAGGGCTTTGTCCAACTTTGACCAGTGTAACTCATGTTGATGTAACACTGACCATCTAGGGCTTTGTCCAACTTTGACCAGTGTAACACATGTTGATGTAACCCTGACCATCTAGGGCTTTGTCCAACTTTGACCAGTGTAACACATGTTGATGTAACACTGACCATCTAGGGCTTTGTCCAACTTTGACCAGTGTAACACATGTTGATGTAACACTGACCATCTAGGGCTTTGTCCAACTTTGACCAGTGTAACACATGTTGATGTAACACTGACCATCTAGGGCTTTGTCCAACTTTGACCAGTGTAACTCTTGTTGATGTAACCCTGACCATCTAGGGCTTTGTCCAACTTTGACCAGTGTAACACATGTTGATGTAACCCTGACCATCTTGGGCTTTGTCCAACTTTGACCAGTGTAACACATGTTGATGTAACCCTGACCATCTAGGGCTTTGTCCAACTTTGACCAGTGTAACTCATGTTGATGTAACACTGACCACCTAGGGCTTTGTCCAACTTTGACCAGTGTAACACATGTTGATGTAACACTGACCACCTAGGGCTTTGTCCAACTTTGACCAGTGTAACACATGTTGATGTAACACTGACCATCTAGGGCTTTGTCCAACTTTGACCAGTGTAACTCATGTTGATGTAACACTGACCATCTAGGGCTTTGTCCAACTTTGACCAGTGTAACTCATGTTGATGTAACCCTGACCATCTAGGGCTTTGTCCAACTTTGACCAGTGTAACACATGTTGATGTAACACTGACCATCTAGGGCTTTGTCCAACTTTGACCAGTGTAACACATGTTGATGTAACCCTGACCATCTAGGGCTTTGTCCAACTTTGACCAGTGTAACACATGTTGATGTAACCCTGACCATCTAGGGCTTTGTCCAACTTTGACCAGTGTAACACATGTTGATGTAACCCTGACCATCTAGGGCTTTGTCCAACTTTGACCAGTGTAACACATGTTGATGTAACACTGACCATCTAGGGCTTTGTCCAACTTTGACCAGTGTAACACATGTTGATGTAACCCTGACCATCTAGGGCTTTGTCCAACTTTGACCAGTGTAACACATGTTGATGTAATCCTGACCATCTAGGGCTTTGTCCAACTTTGACCAGTGTAACACATGTTGATGTAACCCTGACCATCTAGGGCTTTGTCCAACTTTGACCAGTGTAACACATGTTGATGTAACCCTGACCATCTAGGGCTTTGTCCAACTTTGACCAGTGTAACTCATGTTGATGTAACCCTGACCATCTAGGGCTTTGTCCAACTTTGACCAGTGTAACACATGTTGATGTAACACTGACCATCTAGGGCTTTGTCCAACTTTGACCAGTGTAACACATGTTGATGTAACCCTGACCATCTAGGGCTTTGTCCAACTTTGACCAGTGTAACACATGTTGATGTAACCCTGACCATCTAGGGCTTTGTCCAACTTTGACCAGTGTAACACATGTTGATGTAACCCTGACCATCTAGGGCTTTGTCCAACTTTGACCAGTGTAACACATGTTGATGTAACCCTGACCATCTAGGGCTTTGTCCAACTTTGACCAGTGTAACACATGTTGATGTAACCCTGACCATCTAGGGCTTTGTCCAACTTTGACCAGTGTAACTCATGTTGATGTAACCCTGACCATCTAGGGCTTTGTCCAACTTTGACCAGTGTAACACATGTTGATGTAACACTGACCATCTAGGGCTTTGTCCAACTTTGACCAGTGTAACACATGTTGATGTAACCCTGACCATCTAGGGCTTTGTCCAACTTTGACCAGTGTAACACATGTTGATGTAACCCTGACCATCTAGGGCTTTGTCCAACTTTGACCAGTGTAACACATGTTGATGTAACCCTGACCATCTAGGGCTTTGTCCAACTTTGACCAGTGTAACACATGTTGATGTAACCCTGACCATCTAGGGCTTTGTCCAACTTTGACCAGTGTAACACATGTTGATGTAACCCTGACCATCTAGGGCTTTGTCCAACTTTGACCAGTGTAACTCATGTTGATGTAACCCTGACCATCTAGGCCTTTGTCCAACTTTGACCAGTGTAACTCATGTTGATGTAACACTGACCATCTAGGGCTTTGTCCAATGTTCCTTAACAAGATCTTGCAAACTGAAAGTTATATAAGATCCAAATCAGTTCATTCTTTTTTAATCTTTCAGGGTGAAGATTTGACATACATAATGTATAATGATGAGGATCCATTGCATTCACTGGATCCCAGTCAGGGGGCTGCATCTACAGGTCACACTAAAGGTAGGCGTCTCTAGGTTTTGATGTATTCTTGAATTTTGAATAGTTTTTTTTTAAATTATGTGATACCAGTCTTTTTCATTAAGTTAAGGATCCTTTCTATCTGGAAATGTATTTTTATGACTGCCCCTGTTCTGACAGTAGAAATGTACTGATGATGCCATTGATGTCTTACAGGAGTTCTGGGTTTTGATGGTTTGTCTGGCTTCTGGCTGGTGCACAGTGCCCCCAAGTTTCCACCTAACAAGACATCTGGCTACAGCTGGGAGACAAGTGCCTCCATATATGGGCAAACCTTTCTGTGTATCACATTTCCTTATCAGGAGTTAGGACAAATTGGTTTGTTCATCCATTCAATTATTTATGTTTTTCTAGCAACAACTGAACATTTACCTATCATGGTGATATTTTTCTGAACAACAACTGAACATTTACCTATCATGGTGATATTTTTCTGAACAACAACTGAACATTTACCTATCATGGTGAAATTTTTCTGAACAACAACTGAACATTTACCTATCATGATGAAATTTTTCTAAACAACAAGTGGACATTTACCTACCATGGTGATATTTTTCTAAACAACAAGTGAACATTTACCTACCATGGTGATATTTTTCTAAACAACAAGTGAACATTTACCTACCATGGTGATATTTTTCTGAACAACAAATGAAAATTTACCTATCATTGTGATATTCTTCTGAACAACTGAAAATTTACCTATCATTGTGATATTCTTCTGAACAACTGAAAATTTACCTATCATTGTGATATTCTTCTGAACAACTGAAAATTTACCTATCATTGTGATATTCTTCTGAACAACTGAAAATTTACCTATCATTGTGATATTCTTCTGAACAACTGAAAATTTACCTATCATTGTGATATTCTTCTGAACAACTGAAAATTTACCTATCATTGTGATATTCTTCTGAACAACTGAACATTTACCTATCATGGTGATATTTTTCTAGCTGCCCTTCAGCTCACCTATTTGATGTAGCCGTAAGACTATTATTTACAGTAACAATTCACATATTTAAATGTTAGTATTTGTAACTTTTTTCTTGTCAGTATTTCCACCTAGTTGTCTTCTGTTTTGTGAAGTTTGTTGGAGCCTTGAAAAGCCAGACAAATGTCATTATATTATATCCAGTAGCAGCTCAACTTTTACTGGCTTTCCTCAAACACATTTCATTCTTTTCAACTTTCAGGACAACAGCTGCACTACAATGAGCCAAATATTTATGACTATCACATACCGCAACAAGTTTTGGATAAGTTTCCTGTCTTTATTGATCTCATTAAGAAAACTCATGTTAAAAGTCCTCCATGGTTCAGTATTCTCACTCTAAAATCTTCTCAAGGCCAAATATTTACAAGTTTTGCCAAATCAAGAAAATTTGAAGCTGGTAAGTATTCAACAATTTAAAAATTTTGTTCATCATTTTTATATAAAGGACATCTAATTATAGACATGGGATACTCACACACTGATACATTTGAAAATCATTCTTTTTTATCCTATCAGCACATACAAGAATTTTATTTATCATTTTTCTGAGATACCTCTGTAGTTTTATTAGAATACAATTAGATGACATGAATTTTGATCTATATGATAGTTTTGTTGCACCAAACCTACATTTTCTTGCCCTTAGATTTATACGACAGTCTTGTTGCACCAAAACTACATTTTCTTGCCCTTAGATTTATACGACAGTCTTGTTGCACCAAAACTACGTTTTCTTGCCCTTAGATTTATACGACAGTCTTGTTGCACCAAAACTACATTTTCTTGCCCTTAGATTTATACGACAGTCTTGTTGCACCAAAACTATGTTTTCTTGCCCTTAGATTTATACGACAGTCTTGTTGCACCAAACCTACATTTTCTTGCCTTTAGATTTATACGACAGTCTTGTTGCACCAAACCTACATTTTCTTGCCTTTAGATTTATACGACAGTCTTGTTGCACCAAACCTACATTTTCTTGCCCTTAGATTTATACGACAGTCTTGTTGCACCAAACCTACATTTTCTTGCCCTTAGATTTATACGACAGTCTTGTTGCACCAAACCTACATTTTCTTGCCCTTAGATTTATACGACAGTCTTGTTGCACCAAACCTACAACAAAACCTGCTGGTGGAAACATGGCTGAGAAGTAGAGGAGAAGAGCTGCCATCTAACTGTACCGCACAGTTTGAGGTTTGAGTTTTCTAATTGTTCATTTACCATCTAGCTGTACTGCACAGTTTGAGGTTTGAGTTTTCTAATTGTTCATTTACCATCTAGCTGTACTGCACAGTTTGAGGTTTGAGTTTTCTAATTGTTCATTTACCATCTAACTGTACTGCACCGTATGAGGTTTGAGTTTTCTAATTGTTCATTTACCATCTAACTGTACTGCACCGTATGAGGTTTGAGTTTTCTAATTGTTCATTTACCATCTAACTGTACTGCACCGTATGAGGTTTGAGTTTTCTAATTGTGCACATACCATCTAACTGTACCGCACAGTTTGAGGTTTGAGTTTTCTCATTGTTCATTTACCATCTAGCTGTACTGCACAGTTTGAGGTTTGAGTTTTCTAATTGTGCACATACCATCTAACTGTACCGCACAGTTTGAGGTTTGAGTTTTCTCATTGTTCATTTACCATCTAGCTGTACTGCACAGTTTGAGGTTTGAGTTTTCTAATTGTGCACATACCATCTAACTGTACCGCACAGTTTGAGGTTTGAGTTTTCTCATTGTTCATTTACCATCTAGCTGTACTGCACAGTTTGAGGTTTGAGTTTTCTAATTGTGCACATACCATCTAACTGTACCGCACAGTTTGAGGTTTGAGTTTTCTAATTGTGCACATACCATCTAACTGTACTGCACAGTTTGAGGTTTGAGTTTTCAAATTGTGCACATACCATCTAACTGTACTGCACAGTTTGAGGTTTGAGTTTTCTAATTGTTCATTTACCATCTAGCTGTACTGCACAGTTTGAGGTTTGAGTTTTTTCATTGTTCATTTACCATCTAGCTTTACTGCACAGTTTGAGTTTTCTAATTGTGCACATACCATCTAACCATACTGCACAGTTTGAGGTTTGATCTATCTAATTGTGCACATACCGTCTAGCTATACTGCACCGTTTGAGGTTTGAGTTTTCTAATTGTGCAAATACCATCTGACCATACTGCATAGTTTTAGGTTTGAGCTTTCTAATTGTGCACATACCGTCTAGCTATACTGCACCGTATGAGGTTTGAGTTTTTTTAATTGCTCATTCACCATCTAACTGTACTGCAGTTTGAGGTTTGAGTTTTCTAATTGTGCAAATACCATCTAACCATACTGCACAGTTTTAGGTTTGAGCTTTCTAATTGTGCACATACCGTCTAGCTATACTGCACCGTATGAGGTTTGAGTTTTTTTAATTGCTCATTTACCATCTAACTGTACAGCACAGTTTGAGGTTTGAGTTTTTTCATTGTTCATTTACCATCTAGCTTTACTGCACAGTTTGAGTTTTCTAATTGTGCACATACCATCTAACCACACTGCATACTTTGAGGTTTGATTTTAGTATATCAGCTTGCTTATGGTTACACCATCTGTAATAAGTTTGTTTAAGCTGTTGTGATCAATTGATGTCAGCTTGTATTGATTCAGGTCTGTAGAATCACCAATGTCCAGCTGCCAGGTAGCCAAGATTTCAGTGAAACTCAAGATCATGCCAAGTGGGCTGTCAGCTTGGCAGGCACGTCACAGAAACTTTTCTATCAGTCAGAGAAGGTAGGCTTCATCACAAGAATAAATTCATGCTTAAATCAATCAATAGGCAGCTGAACAAAGAACTGACCATTATATAGGTTTATAGACTCAGCTCATCTGTGAACTCTACTTCATCTGCCATAAGACCTTTAGGTCAAAATAGGTAGCTTTTTAAAAATTATAAATGAAACAGTTTGTTATATTGTAACAGATAATTGAACAAGGCCTAAAAGTAATTGTATGTCTATGTTAACAAGGTAAAAAAAATTCACTTTTAGTCAAGGTTGAAAACATTGTACTATGAACTTCTACTTCTAAACACAATCTTCATGAGCAATGTTCAACAATTTCAAACAAGGAAAATTGTTTATAACTGAATAAACAACATTTCTAAAGAAAGGGCTAAAAAGACCTCATAAAAATATTAATCAATGAGCTGCAAATCCTGTTTGATTACTACTGGCTAAAAAAAAACTTTTAATGAATATGAATACATTACATTTTAGGAAAAATATATATTACAAACCAGCTACTTCTAGCATTGAGCAACATTTTCCTGTTGTTTATTGGAATGTCTGACACAGCAGCTCTTCTTGTTTCAATCTTTTAGAGCCCTCAGACAACAGAGCCCTGGACTTGCATTGGGGACATCAATCGCATGAAAAGCCAGTTTTCAAGAGGAGGAGGCACTGTGTGCTTACAAAATGCAGATGTCTGGCAGTCATTTAAGACATCTGTCACCAAATATGATTCCTGCTGAGAGCTATAGATCTTTTAATGACTTAATTGATACAAATTTATTTTACTTTAATGTGTCAACTATTTGAAATAGTCATTAGTATTTTTTTAACAACTTTACTGCAATGTGTTGATATATTAATTTCACCAAAGTTGTTAAGTGTTCTTTTTAATATTGTAAACATTTTTTATATTACTGAATCTATGTACTTTTCTTATTTTAAATTTACAACTGAATTTTAAACATTCTATCAATGTCATAAAATTTCTTTTATTTTCAGCATGCATATTTTTATTTCAGAAGATGTATAATTTTTCTGTGAGCACATAGCTCAAATGAAATGACTGCCATGAATGTTTCAATCACATGAATTATATTTCCTTGCAAATGTATGACAAATTAGTGTTGAAACATAGGGTTTAGCTCCCTCACCACATTACACTGACCATTTCTTGGTTCACTTGGTTAACTGACTAGTCTTTTTCTAATTGAAAAAACCCTTTATTCCTTTTTGTATAAAAAGGCTTTATGAATTTAACATGTGTTGTATATATCTGTTGTCATGCTATTCAGTGCCCCTTGAATGCTGACATTAAAACACAGCAGAGGATACATTGGGTGTGTAAGAGCTGTGTGTGTTGTCTGTAGGTTACATACTTTTATACAGTACAGGCATTCTTTACTAGTAGTTGGTAGTATTCATTGTCAGCTTACTTATGTTTATAGTTTTGTTAATCTTATTCTTTTATTATTTATTATAGAGATCAGATCTACTTAATCTATAAAGAAAATTTATATTCATTTTTTCTTTGTGCTTGTATAGTTTTGTATTTAACTTAATTAAAGTTTGAAAAATTTGCATTCTTTTTGCTTGTTTTTTTTATAAACTATTTTTTAAATATATTTTTAAACTAACAAGTGATGAATACAGCTGATAGGGAAGAGACAGACCAGCTATTCTATGTTGAAGTACCTTACAACCTTTATTCTTACAAACAGCTGTCTCTACAGCAAACAATCATTCATTCCTTTTACTGAGCTTGAAATTAATAATGGTTCACAATGTATGCAAGTTTAAAAGAATTTGGCTTTTTAGATTAGAAATATTGATTGCAAGATTTCACCTAGACAAAAGCTTGTAAACCCCAACTGTCTTTCTGCAGAACAAAGTTAGGAAATAATGAAAATAATTCTTTTGGAAGTTCTTCTTGAATTCTCTTTATTCTTGCATAAATGAGACAGGAGAGACATGAACATTCATTCATTCCACTAGAGTTATCTCCTTCAAGTAGAATACTTCAAAATGTCAAAAGCAGTGTGTATCAACTTAGTTTGATGTAGTTTCTTATGGAGTAACAGTTGTACATGATTTTGGTAATACAAAATGTCAAGACTGCCAATGGAAATGGTTTAATTCTAGAATTTTAATATCTTTGTTCATTAACTCTACAGGAAAATCTATACAAAGTTCTTTGGATACATTGCTATTCAGTGAGAATGAGATGTTAAATGTTACAATATTATTTCTTTCTCTTGTGATGGTCCATGATTCTTTATAATTGTAGACACTTAGAAAAAATCCGTTAATGGATGATGGTAGGACATCGCTCATGAGTTGGATGTTGGTTCAGTTCAAACAAAATGGAGATCGTGAGCCCTGCATGACTCTGTTTCTGCTTTGTTTCTTCTTCCATGTCAAATCTAGTTTGAGATGGTCCAATAAATGTTCAGTGTTTTAGTCACTAGAGAGTGAGAGTCTATGTAATGAATTGCCATAGTATAGAACCATCTATATTGGGTGCTAAACACTTAGTAAGTTCAGAAGATAACTAATTGAATGTTTGTAAACAATGGGGAAAATTGATCAAAATGGCCATAAAAGATGTTTAGGAAAATATCCTATTGTGGCCATTCAATGTAAAAAGGTTTTTCTCCAGTGTTTGATTGTTTTTAAAGAGCATGCAGTCTGGCGCCTCTCCTCTTGTTATTGCTGCTGAAGCATTTTTTCTCTGGGAAGAAAATTAGACCTGAATGATGTTCAATCTGGCAAAGTGGAGACAAGTATTCATCAAGCTTGACATCCTCTCCATCGCCTTTACTGTTTTCTGCATTTGGCATCATGTAAGATTCAAGTTCCAGCTGGCCATCATGGGTTTCAATGACTACGACCTGCACAGAGAAATAAATTACACATGATGTAAGCAGCTCCCTGAATAACATAACATTTAAGCAGTTAAACTTCAGAACTACATCACAACATTTTTATAAATTAGTTTAATATAATGTCGATTAAAACTTGTTACACCTAATTTTTAAAAACTTAGAAAAAGTAATTGATGTTTAAAAATAAGGCTTACTTTGAAGAAATGAGTTGGAACTGAAACTTCACCATCACCCAGAACATCAAATTGTTTCACAACTTTGTCATCCTCACTTCTGTTGAAAAAAAAACAACAAAAAACGTTCATTAGTTATCTAAACAGATCAACACACGAGGGGGTTGGCGTGTGATCTAAACAGATCAACAAACTAGAGGTTGGCGTGTGATCTAAACAGATCAACACACTAGGGGGTTGACGTGTGATCTAAACAGATCAACACACTTGAGGTTGACGTGTGATCTAAACAGATCAACAAACTAGAGGTTGGCGTGTGATCTAAACAGATCAACACACTTGAGGTTGACGTGTGATCTAAACAGATCAACAAACTAGGAGTTGACGTGTGATCTAAACGGATCAACACACGAGGGGGGTGGCGTGTGATCTAAACAGATCAACACACTTGAGGTTGACGTGTGATCTAAACAGATCAACGCACGAGGGGGTTGGCGTGTGATCTAAACAGATCAACTCACGAGGGGGTTGACGTGTGATCTAAACAGATCAACTCACGAGGGGGTTGACGTGTGATCTAAACAGATCAACTCACGAGGGGGTTGGCGTGTGATCTAAACATATCAACACATATTGGAGTTGACGTGTGATCTAAACAGATCAACACATATTGGAGTTGACGTGTGATCTAAACAGATCAACACATATTGGAGTTGACATGTGATCTAAACAGATCAACACACGAGGGGGTTGACGTGTGATCTAAACAGATCAACACACTTGAGGTTGACGTGTGATCTAAACAGATCAACACCTATTGGAGTTGACGTGTGATCTAAACAGATCAACATACTAGGGGTTGACGTGTGATCTAAATAGATCAACACATACTAGGGGTTGACGTGTGATCTAAATAGATCAACACATATTGGAGTTGACGTGTGATCTAAACAGATCAACACACGAGGGGGTTGACGTGTGATCTAAACAGATCAACACATATTGGAGTTGACGTGTGATCTAAACAGATCAACACATATTGGAGTTGACGTGTGATCTAAACAGATCAACACACGAGGGGGTTGACGTGTGATCTAAACAGATCAACACCTATTGGAGTTGACGTGTGATCTAAACAGGCCAACATACTATGGGTTGACGTGTGATCTAAATAGATCAATACATATTGGAGTTGAGGTGTGATCTAAACAGATCAACACACTTGAGGTTGACGTGTGATCTAAACAGATCAACACATATTGGAGTTGACGTGTGATCTAAACAGATCAACACCTAGTGCAGTTGACGTGTGATCTAAACAGATCAACACCTAGTGCAGTTGACGTGTGATCTAAACAGATCCGAAAATATGTCTGAAATGCATATTAGTTGGAATGTTGGATTATAACCACCATTGAAAGTAGTATGAATACCCGTGTGTTTCTTACTACTAAGCTGAACTGTTAGTGTATAAAAATGCCAGATTATCAAAAGCAAAGAAATGAAAGCTTAACTTACATTGGCAAGAATAAGGGTCCTGAGCAAACATAAACACCTTTGTTTTCTCGCACCAACTTCTCTCTGATGTAACATTCAAGATCGAACCATGGCCCACAGTTGAAGCCTGGAACCTAGAAAACATTTGGACTTCTTTAAGTGATCATAAACATTTGAAACCAATTTAATAGAGCGAATATAACGAGCAGTAGGATTTAAGATTAGTAATTGTTCTTTAAGAAGGATATATATTCTGAATAAAAACTTTTAAATCTAAAAGCAATGATGTTACAGAAATACATGTACAGAAAAAGCCAATATAATTTTAAAAGAAATTTATTGCACGGTTGTCACTAAGTATTTTTTTTGTCATACATTTTTTTTCTCGGGGTGGGTGGTGTTGGGGGGGAGAGTGGATAACAAACTAGGGGGAAGGTGCGACAACATTTCCGCGGGGGGGGGGGGTCGTACGAGGGGGGGGGTGCTACTACTTCCGAGGAGATGCCGGGAAAGTGACTATGTACATACATTCTTGTTATTCGTCGTGCTTTTGTTTTCCGCGCGTCTTAAGGTTCTGTTCAGTTTTAGATTTAATTTTACTGGACATTTCTTTTAATACAAATGGCTGATTATATGTCGCTTTTTTCTTTACCTGGGGAACTATGTTGGTCATGGTGAAGCATTCACAGAAAGACTCGGGATCATATGGATAATTCTCGGGCTGCGCCATGAGACCCATTTCATATTCAGTATCACAGTAGTCTTTAGCATCAGCACGATGGTAGCCATGGATACGACAATCAGGTGTAAACTTGGGTCTCTCTTTGTCTTCGTTACTGAAACATGGAATAGGTTAGAGTGTGTGTATGTGTGTGCGTATGTGTGTGTGAGTGGGTGTGTGGGTGTGTGTAATTCAGCATACGGTGATAAGCTGTAGCGTATGGGATAGGGCGGTGCTGGGCGGGGTTAAGATGTGTGAAGTGAGGTAGGCGGAGTCGAATAATGTGATTATTTACGGGCCTGTTTAACACTCTTAATGGACAAAAATAATAGTAAAGTTTTAGAAAGGGGGGGGGTGTTACAACTTTGTGATGTCATTTTGGGGAGGAGGAGAGTCTTTTTGTGTTGACAAGATAAAATAGGGCGAAGGAGAGGTAAAAATGGCTAATAAATTAAATGGCTAATAGTTTTTTGATTGGGAGGCTTATTGCAGGCGTGTATGTATGAACAATGTCGATATCGAACATGATGGAAGAAGGCCTCAAGTCTGGCTAATGAGCTACATGATGGCACTAGGCATGTCACTAAGTCTGGCTAATGAGCTTAATGATGTCACGATGTAGGCCTATGAGCATGTCATCAAGTCAGGCTAATGAGCTTAATAATGACCTCAGGTATAAGCATGTCACTAAGTCTGGCTAATGAGCTACATGATGGCACTAGGCATGTCACTAAGTCTGGCTAATGAGCTTAATGATGTCACGATGTAGGCCTATGAGCATGTCATCAAGTCAGGCTAATGAGCTTAATAATGACCTCAGGTATAAGCATGTCACTAAGTCTGGCTAATGAGCTACATGATGGCACTAGGCATGTCACTAAGTCTGGCTAATGAGCTTAATGATGTCACGATGTAGGCCTATGAGCATGTCATCAAGTCAGGCTAATGAGCTTAATAATGACCTCAGGTATAAGCATGTCACTAAGTCTGGCTAATGAGCTTAATGCCAACACGATGTAGGCCTATGAGCATTTCATCAAGTCAGGCTAATGAGCTTAATAATGACCTCAGGTATAAGCATGTCACTAAGTCTGGCTAATGAGCTTAATGACAACACGATGTAGGCCTATGAGCATGTCATCAAGTCAGGCTAATGAGCTTAATGTTGACCTCAGGTATAAGCGTGTCACTAAGTCTGGCTAATAAGCTTAATGACAACACGATGTAGGCCTATGAGCATGTCATCAAGTCAGGCTAATGAGCTTAATGTTGACCTCAGGTATAAGCATGTCACTAAGTCTGGCTAATGAGCTTAATGACAACGCGATGTAGGCCTATGAGCATGTCATCAAGTCAGGCTAATGAGCTTAATAATGACATCAGGTATAAGCATGTCACTAAGTCTGGCTAATGAGCTTAATGACAACACGATGTAGGCCTATGAGCATGTCATCAAGTCAGGCTAATGAGCTTAATGTTGTAAAAGCATGTCTCCTAGTCTTACCTCAGTCTGGCTAATGAGCTACATGATGGCACTAGGCATGTCACTAAGTCTGGCTAATGAGCTTAATGATGTCACGATGTAGGCCTATGAGCATGTCATCAAGTCAGGCTAATGAGCTTAATAATGACCTCAGGTATAAGCATGTCACTAAGTCTGGCTAATGAGCTACATGATGGCACTAGGCATGTCACTACGTCTGGCTAATGAGCTTAATGATGACATCAGGTATAAGCATGTCACTAAGTCTGGCTAATGAGCTTAATGACAACACGATGTAGGCCTATGAGCATGTCATCAAGTCAGGCTAATGAGCTTAATGTTGTAAAAGCATGTCTCCTAGTCTTACCTCAGTGATGACACGATTTTAATGATAACACCAGGGAACTAAGTTTGGCTAATGAGCTTACTGATGACACGATGTAGGCTTATAAGTATCCAAGTGTGATTGTTTAATGATGACACCAGGTATAAGAATGTAACTAAGTCAGGCTAATGAGCTTAATGTTGATTCCAGGTATAAGCAAGTAACTAAGTTTGTCTAATGAGCTAAATGATGACACCAGGTATAAGCTTGTCAGTAAGTCAGACTAATGAGCTTAATGATCACATCAAGTATAAGCATCTCACCAAGTCAGACTAATGAGCTTAATGATGACACAAAGTATAAGCATGATACTAAGTCAGGCTAATGAGCTTAATGATGACACCAGGTATATGCAAATAACTAAGTTTGGCTAATAAGCTTAATGATGACACCAGGTAGAAGCATGTCAGTAAGTCAGGCTAATGAGCTTAATGATGACACCAAGTATAAGCATCTCACCAAGTCAGACTAATGAGCTTAATGATGACACCAAGTATAAGAATGTCACTAAGTTTGGCTAATAAGCTTGATGACGCCAAGTATAAGAATGTCACTAAGTTTGGCTAATAAGCTTGATGACGCCAAGTATAAGAATGTCACTAAGTTTGGCTAATGAGCTTAATGATGACACCAAGTATAAGAATGTCACTAAGTTTGGCTAATGAGCTTAATGATGACACCAAGTATAAGAATGTCACTAAGTTTGGCTAATGAGCTTAATGATGACACCAAGTATAAGAATATCACTAAGTTTGGCTAATGAGCTTAATGATGACACCAAGTATAAGAATGTCACTAAGTTTGGCTAATAAGCTTGATGACGCCAAGTATAAGAATGTCACTAAGTTTGGCTAATAAGCTTGATGACGCCAAGTATAAGAATGTCACTAAGTTTGGCTAATGAGCTTAATGATGACACCAAGTATAAGAATGTCACTAAGTTTGGCTAATGAGCTTAATGATGACACCAAGTATAAGAATGTCACTAAGTTTGGCTAATGAGCTTAATGATGACACCAAGTATAAGAATGTAACTAAGTTTGGCTAATAAGCTTAAATATGACACCAGGTAGAAGCATGTCAGTAAGTCAGGCTAATGAGCTTAATGATGACACCAAGTATAAGCATCTCACCAAGTCAGACTAATGAGCTTAATGATGACACCAGGCATAAGAATGTCACTAAGTTTGGCTAATAAGCTTAATGATGACACCAAGTATAAGAATGTCACTAAGTTTGGCTAATGAGCTTAATGATGACACCAAGTACAAGAATGTCACCAAGTCAGGCTAATGAGCTTAATGATGACACCAGGTATAAGCATGTCTCTAAATCTTGCTAATAAACTTCAAGATGGAACCAGGTCACTAAGGCTGGCTAATAAGCTTGATGACACGATGTATGCCTAGATCTATATGCATGTCACAAAGTCTAATTGGGTCAAGGATGACACCAGGTATAAGCATGTCTCTAAATCCTGCTAATAAACTTCAAGATGGAACCAGGTCACTAAGGCTGGCTAATGAGCTTGACACCATGTATGCCTATATGCTTGTCACAAAGTCTAATGGGGTCAATGATGACACCAGGTTTAAGCATGTCACTAAGTCTAATTGGGTCAATGATGACATCAGGTATAAGCATGTCACCAAGTCTAATTGGGTCAATGATGACACCAGGTTTAAGCATGTCACTAAGTCTAATTGGGTCAATGATGACATCAGGTATAAGCATGTCACCAAGTCTAATTGGGTCAATGATGACACCAGGTTTAAGCATGTCACCAAGTCTAATTGGGTCAATGATGACACCAGGTTTAAGCATGTCACTAAGTCTAATTGGGTCAATGATGACATCAGGTATAAGCATGTCACCAAGTCTAATTGGGTCAATGATGACACCAGGTTTAAGCATGTCACCAAGTCTAATTGGGTCAATGATGACACCAGGTTTAAGCATGTCACCAAGTCTAATTGGGTCAATGATGACATCAGGTATAAGCATGTCACCAAGTCTAATTGGGTCAATGATGACACCAGGTTTAAGCATGTCACCAAGTCTAATTGGGCCAATGATGACACCAGGTTTAAGCATGTCACTAAGTCTAATTGGGTCAATGATGACACCAGGTTTAAGCATGTCACTAAGTCTAATTGGGTCAATGATGACACCAGGTTTAAGCATGTCACCAAGTCTAATTGGGTCATGATGACACCAGGTTTAAGCATGTCACTAAGTCTAATTGGGTCAATGATGACACCAGGTTTAAGCATATCACCATGTCTGGTATGTAAGCTTTGGATGACACCAGGTTTAAGCATGTCGCTAAGGTTGGCTAATGAGGTTAAAATGACACGATGTAGGTTTATGTGCATTTCGCCAAGTCTAATTAAGTTTAATGATTGTACCAGGTAGAAATCTATAAGCAAGTCTCCAAGTCTGATTAAGTTTAATGATACCAGGTGCTTTGTCTGGCTAATGAACTTAAATAATGAATTGAGTATAAGCACTCATGAGCATGTAACAAGTTTGTCTAATTAACTTAGTGATGACACTAAGTAGAAGCTCTTTTAGTCTGACTAATTTGATAACTGATAATACGATGTATCAGCATTCCATAAGTCTTGATTGTGAGGTCAGTGAAAAATATAGCTCGACTTATCGATATTCCACTTTGTATACTTTTAATTAATGGAACCAGATTTCTATAATTTATGAAAGTCATTCAATAAATATAGTACAGATCTAGATCTAGATTGTAAATTCAAAACTTAAGAATTTGTATTTGTATTCATCAAAAGAAAACTCAATTGCAAGTAATACTTGAATCCAACTAACAACCAAGCACATGTGTTGTAAAAGCTTAGGTTGCTAGGCACGTGTTTACCAAACGTTGAGTTGCTGTACACGTGTCTATCACTTGTTCAACCTTGAAACCTTAACCTAATTAGAGTTCAAACATCACCATCATAGACACTTTTATTGAGATATTTTGATCTTTTCCGTTGATCTAATTTGAGATAAAAGGTCGTTTTAAATAGATCTAGAATCTAATATTTTTATTGATAACCAACGTATGCTTTCAACAGGATTTGACCTTTATCTCAAAGGTTGGGCTTGAATTTGAAATTTATAAAGGAGAATGGACATTCAGAAGATCTATCATGATCTATTGTGTAAACAGATCCTCAAACCTCATCAGTAAAGGATACGTAGGTTTGTTTACGTGTGTGGGTATAAGGGACAGTAATAACATTAAAGTGATTATCAAAGAAGTATCATTAGAAATAAATCTAGTGCTTACCTTGCACATTGTGTTCTTTCCACTTTGACTCTTCTGTCACAAGGATCATCCTTGAAGAGCTTGTCGTACTGAAGATGTTCGTAGACCCAGTTTGGAATTCGATTTTTTGAATCGTAAGACACAATAAAGTCCTTGAATCTCAAAGGTTTGCAACAAGCAGTGGGTTGAGGGAAGCCAACTCTTTTCTTGATAACATCGCCAACATAACAGGGTTCTTTATTGTCGGCAGCATGCAGTGTAAGGGCGCTCAGTACATCTGGCTTCTTAATGCTAATAAGACTTAAACTGCCCAAAGCAGCGGTGGAAGCAAGACGCCCAAGCATGGTGTAAATTTCTAGCGCAAAAATTTAAACGAGAAAATACTGACCTAACGATCCAACAGATGAGCGACTGGGATATTAAGCTGCCTTTACAGCAACTAAAAAAATGGTGGTCGCACAACACCGCTGCTTACCGTTGCACGATAGTATGGAGATGCTGGTGGACTACTACAGTGACGTCATATTTGAATATCCCTGACAACAAGAAAAGCGTCGCGAGGCGAAGATGACGTTTTGCGGGCTTTTTATTTATTTCTTGTTCAACGTGGTGCCGGGAATTCCCGTTGACAGTACCATCTAATGAAGGATACGCATTGATCGACATCTTATTTCTATTATCTTTTGTAGGCCTAGAATGCACGCACCTTTATTTATCAACATCGCTGTCAATATCCGGTTCTACTATTGAAAGAAAGCTAGATTCTAACTTTTAGTCTATTTATAAATCTATCTTTAATAAAAGTAATTTGATCATTCATTTTTCATGTTGAATATTTATTATATATGGACTATTTTTATAGTGATTCTATGACTGACGTTTTATCATTAACAAATAGATTCTAGATTAGATTTGTTTTGAAATAATAAAAATTAGCGTGGGTTTTGAGACTATGTGATAGCACTTTCAGTTTAGATTTCCGATTCAATAAGATTTGTTTCGTGTGTTAAAATTGAGCTTTTTAATTAAATATTTTATGCGTAAAAAACTTAACCCGGGCATAGTGACTGACTTCCGATAAATGTTGCACGCCTCATTCAATACGAACAATGTGAAAAATATCATTTATATAGAATACTACCGTACCTGTCTCGCGCGTTGCTGTAGTCTAAAAAAAAAGAACATTCAAAGAAACACGTTATGAGAACATTCGATTTTTATGGAAACTGATAAATCCTTTTAATATGAAAATATGATAAAATGTAAGAAAATAATATCCACGTTAAAAAATGTTTATGCCAGAATTCATGGCGTAAGTGTATTCAATACCTTCCAAAAGTGCCTGGTGATTGGGTGCATGATGTAGAATCTAGTAATGAATAAACGACAAACAGACCGACAGACATACATTCGAGCACCATATGTTTTTACTTTCCAGATAAAAAAAATATTCGTGTTGTGAGTTTTAAAAAATCGTTAAAACTTGAAACTTATGATGGCATTCTAAATAGTGGCATTTTATTATAATTATCTAGACCAGGGGTCGGCAACCTGCGGCTCGCGAGCCGCATGCGGCTCTTTTGATATCAAGATGCGGCTCTCCAGCTCCTTGCACAAATACTAATAATCTTAATCAAAAAATAAAATATTTGAAATAAAAAAAAATTAGTGGCTCTTTAAAACCACGGAAATGTTGAAAATTGTAACTTTTGGCTCTTCCGCTTCAAAAGGTTGCCGACCCCTGATCTAGACTCCCAATTATATTTTTTAACCGCCCATTTCGCTTCCGCAATGATAAAATAGGCAGACGATACGATTTCGATTATAAACTGACTGCTAGTTTATATTAGTCTAGAAATGTTCAACATTCATGTGATGTCAATTATTTCCCCACTACCTTTGTTTTGTTAGCTAACACGGCAACTTACTAAAGAAAGTAACGAATCGGCATAAAACTATTAAAACTTAAAGTGGATGAAAGTGTTAGTTGCAATGAGGTTTATGCAATAGTTATAAAACATGTTGCGTTGGTATCCTCAAAAATTAAAGAATTAAATATCAAGATCAAATTTGTTAGAAATGTTTATAGGCTATTAATTTCCGTCCTTTTCTTTTTACATCTTGATCATATTAAGGCTTAACTTTTCGTAATCATTTAGATGTATTGCAAGGAAACACGTTTCTGAAATTTCGCGACACAAACTTCCTCGTTTATTTCTATACGTCATCACGTAGAACTATCTAGAATTGAGAGGAGGGCGTGATACGTGTGAGAAAAGGTTTCAGGTTTCAATGTTCATATTTTGCTTTCTTGAATTATACAATTTTGGGGATTCACTTTAATGATTTAGATCAGGGGTCTCCAAACTTTTCAGTCCGAGGGCCGCATTAACTATCAAATTTCAGTTCGGGGGCCAGTTACTTCCAGGTATGTCTTTGATTTCTCTGGGCAAAGTTCCTCAGCCATCATCAACAAACGTTTTTTCCGTGGACAAAAAGATTTCCGCGGGCCGGATGAGAGGACATCGCGGGCCGCATTCCGGCCCGCGGGCCGTAGTTTGGAGACCCCTGATTTAGATCTATACAATTTTGGGGATTCACTTTCATGATTCACATTTTTTTAAAAGTGGCACCCCTGTACATATAAATACAGTGTATCTTCCAGGGGGGGGGGGGGACACAGGGGCGTAGCGAGGGGGGGCGGGGGGTGCGGACCGCACCGGGTGACACCATTTAGAGGGGTGACACCAAGGCAAAAAATAGCAAAATATATAGAGAAAAAATTGAGGGGGGGGGTGCAAATCGAAAGTTCGAGGGGGTGCAAATCGACATTTTGAGGGAGGGGGGGTGCAAATCGAAAATTTGAAAGTTTGTCCCCCTCTGAGGGGTGACACCATTAAGTGCCGCACCGGGTGACACCCGACCTCGCTACGCCACTGGGAGGACACACACACTTGAAATTTCCGGGGGGGGGGGGGAGTATATATCCTCTATATAATTCCATTTTCTTCGGGGGGGGGGGGGGGTAGGAGGAAACTGAAACTCTGTATTTATAGATGACTAAACAAATAGAGCTAATAGTGCATTAATTAAGTAATAAATTACCTCTTCCAACTGATGAAATGATCGGCAATTCCTTTTTAAATTCAAGGCACAGGAAGTGATCTGCAACTAGTCAATGGTCGCGTATATATGACTGACGCAACCTTTTCGATTTCATAATGGTGTATTTTTAGACGCGTGACCGCACTTTCTCATTGGATGCCGTGCGGCGTCAATTCGGCCAATGACGAAACGGCCCCGTCAAAACGACCCCGACAAAACGACCCCGTCAAAACGACCCCGTCAAATCGGCCCCGTCAAAAGGGCCAGCGACATATGGACCCCGTCATATAGGCTCCCGACAAATAGGCTCCCGTCATTTAGGCTACCGACAAATAGGCTCCCGTTATATAGGCTCCCGACAAAAGGGCTCCAGTCAATAAGGCTCCTGACAAATAGGCTCCCGTCATTTTGGCTCCCGACATATAGTCTCCCGTCATTTAGTTTTTTCCACAAAACGGCTCCCGTCATTACGACTCCCGACAAATAGGCTCCCGCCATTTAGTTTCTCCACAAAACGGCCCCCGTCATTACGACTCCCGACAAATAGGCTAGCGTCATTTTGGCTCCCGACAAAAAGGCTCCTGTCAATTTGGCTCCAGACAAAAGGACCACTGACACAGTGGCGTAGCTACCGTAAAGCTAGCGTAAGCAAGGCATGGGGGCCAAGGCACATAGGTGCCCTTTTCCCTCATAAACAATTAAAACTTTTACAATGGAATTTTAATATTTGTTACATATAAATAATTTAAAAAAAGAAAAAGGTTAAAAGTTCCAAAAAGCCCCCCCCCCCCCCCCCACCGTTTCGGCAGTGGGATTCAGTGTTTGTGGGTCAAACAGAGCCCAATCGTTATAATAACACTACAGGCTATATCACTTTGTCGTGCAAGACATTGAGAGAATCAGCCTATAAATAAACTTTTTAGCAGTAGTAGGCAAGCATAATAATATAGTATAAATACAAAATCAGGACATATAAAATACAAAATGTTGCCTTCAGAATATTTATATATTAAAAAATATCCATCGTAAGTAGAAGTTGATCTCTTCGTTTAACTCCTCTGTAGCCTAACGCAGAGGCGTAGCGAAGGCGAGGCGGGGGGGGGGGGGGGTGCGGACCGCACCGGGTGACACCATTTAGGGGGGTGACACCAAGGCAAAAAATAGCAAAATACATAGAGAAAAAGTTGAGGGGGTGGGGGTGCAAATCGAAAGTTTGGGGGGGGGGGGGGTGCAAATCGAAAACTTGAAAGTTTGTCCCCGGGAAGGGTCGCAACGCCTCTGGGGGGGGGGGGGGTGACACCATTAAGTGCCGCACCGGGTGACATCCGACCTCGCTACGCCACTGTGCTTGTAGGTTATCAAAACAAAATGCTGTTATCATGTTAACATCATGTATATCATACATTTACACTTCTGTGCTCGCTTTTAAGCAACAGATCTTTTCTGTTGTAAATTAAACATTATCAAAACTTTAGAATTGGTGGAATTCAGCTGTTAAGGGCTCGATTTGTTTGTGAATTAATGTTGGTTCATGAAAAAATAATTTCATTCGGGCATTAAAAAGAGGTTATGGTGGTATTGGAGGTAGGACACAATGGTTACTTTTATGCCAATAGTGGTCATATCAATCATTTTTCTGGAGCCAATATGTCGGGAGTCATTTTGTCAAAAGCCAATATGTCGGGAGCCCAATTGCCGGGAGCCAATATGTCGGGAGCCCATTTGTCGGTAGCCAAAATGTCGTGAGCCCATTTGCCGGGAGCCCATTTGTCTTGGGCCCTTATGTCGGGAGCCAATATGTCGGGAGCCGCTTTGTCGGGAGCCAATATGTCCTGAGCCTATTTGTCAGGGGTTAATATGTCGGGAGTCCATTTGTCGGGAGCCTAAATATCGGGAGCCCATTTGTCGGGAGCCTATATGTCGCAAGTCAATATGACGGGAGCCCATTTGACGGGAGCCAATAAGTCGGGGCCCTTTTGACGGGGCTATTTTGACGGGGTCGGTTTGTCGGGAGTCGATTTGACGGGGTCGTATTAACGGGGCCGTTTTGACGGGGCCGATTTGTCCCGGGCCGTTTTGACAGGGCACCATTGGATGCTGTTAAAAAGACGAAGATGCGTATTCGCAGAAGTGATGAAACTATATGGGTGTTTCTTTAGGGGTCATCCATTTATGACGTCCACAAAAATTACGGATTTTTTACCCCCACCCCCGCCCACACATATCCACTTTCGATGAACCTCACCTCCCCCCCCCCACGATGTGGACGTCCAAATAAAGTACACTTTTAAAAACCAATCTACTACTTTACTATTTAAAAAACACGGTAATAATACATTCGGTAATGTTTATTATTAAGCCTAAATATTAAAAACCGGGAGTGATCTCCCCTAAACTTTCTCGAATATTCTTATATAAAACAACAAGGGTTGGGAACTCGGA